CGTTCTCTGCGCTCTCAGATGGGTCCCACAGTGACTGCTCCGCTCCCCACCAGTGCACAAAGCTGCTCTTCAATAATACTCCTGAAATCTCATCCACAACTAGCATCAGGCTCACAGATGGGCAGCAGGCCGCCTCTCTCTCCTGCATCTTCTGCGGAGCTGGAGCGACTGGCTGTTTTACCGGCTGCCTGGCGCTGGGCTTGCCCCCCTCCCCCCATCGGCCTCCTAGTAGCACCAACCCTGGTTCAGGGAGCTCATTGGCCAGTTCTCCTGAGCGGCCATCCGGGGCCCTGGACAACCACCTCTCATTTTCTGAGCAGTCTACTCCATGTTCACCGAGGACAAGGTGCCCTTTTGCCTAAAGACCGCTCCTTTGAGTGGAGATAGGAACTGGGCCTCTTTGTACGACGATATCTCATCAGTGGCCCAAGCAGGAGCCCCAAGCATCCCTGAGACATCCTCCAGGCTGGAAGATCATGACTGAGGTGCTCTTCCTGAGCACTCTATCAACCCCCAGCTCATCCAGTTGCTCATCTCCTGGCGTATTCACAGAGTCTCAAAGCCTCTTAACACCTGCTCAGAGCCTTCTCTAAGGATCAGAACCATCTCCCCAGATTCCAGGTCCTCTTCAAAGCTGACCTCAATGGAGAGTCTGACTTTTTAGTTGCATTTTTTTCTCATTAGATTAATTCGTGATGACCCAATCAAGTTGCATTTTATCGTGGTTGTCCAATCTCCCTGGGCGTCCATCCCCCCCCCATCCCAGTTTCAGGCAATGGAATCAGGCCTCCTGTCTTCCCTCTGAATGTGTTTGAAATCTCCCTTATTAGTGCCCTAGCTGATGTCTCCAGTTCCCCCACCAGCTATAACAAGTTCACACTGAGAAGACAGCTCCTCCAAATTCTTAGGTATATCTATTTCTACTATAAATTCCATCTTGCCCTGTGAAGTATTCTTTTCATATCTTCTGTTCCTTGGGAGACGAAATTATCAGAAGGGAAATTTGAGACCATGATTGGATAGGACAATTCAGGAATCTAGTAAAAAGCCGCATTGTAAGCTCTTGCAAAATGGAAGATTCTGTGTTTCTGTGGGCCAAGTATTGTTTCCTTACCTGTATTAATATAATGTAAGCAATCTTGGGATTAATTTTAATTGATATATAGCATGAATATTAGTTTTAGGTGCACAATGTAATGATTAGACATTTGTACATGTTGCAAAATGACCATCACAACAAAAACACTTAACATTCATCACCACACATACTTACAAATGTGTTTTTCTTGTGAGGAGCACTTTTAAGACATACTCTTTTAGCAACTTTCAAGCACGCAACTCAGCGTTATGAACCATAGCCGCCATGCTATACAATACATCCCCATGGCTTTTTTAGTTTATAACTGGGTGTCTGTTCCTGTGATTATTTCTAAACGTTGCAACTTTTATCCATTCTGTTTTCAAATGACTACAGACGTGGAGCTTAATGTTGTGTCCTGAAGTTCTTTGTGGTTAAACAGATAGCAACTGTGTCCCATCTCTTCAAAGCATAACTTGGCACCAGCTTCCCTAATGTATTGTGAGATATTCAGCTTTGAGTTAAATACATACAAGTTGGTTTCATGTGGTTTAGCTTTGTTTTCATATCTCTACAAGGATTAATCTCCAGACAAAGGAACCATCCAGTCCAGTTAGTATTTAAGATCAAATGACCTTAATTTTTGTCAAGCTGGCATCGTAACTCCATGCTCTGATGCATCCCTTTTGGTCCAAAAACAGAACAATAATAGATTAAACATAAAAAGAAGAAAACAGACAGTTCAGTGCTCAGAAGTGAGATAAATCTTTCTTTGTGAACCAGAAACAGCAGAAATGTGGCGCAGTGAGCAAGGCTGAAACCCTTGGTCTGCGGGCGGCAGGCTTGCAGGAAGGCAGCTGCCAGAACTTCGGCTTGTGTAGAACCTGCCTGCTCAGTCGCTCAGTCTTGTCCAACTCTTTGTGACCCTCTGGACCACAGCCCACCAGCCTCCTCTTTTCATGGAATTCTCCAGGCAAGAAACATGGAGTGGGTAGCCATTCCCGTCTCCAGAGGATCATCCCCACCCAGGAACAGAACCCAGATCTCCTGCATTGCAGAGAGTTCCTTTACTGTCTGAGCCTCCAGGGAAGCCAGAGTCAGGCTAAATGGTAAAGCTGGGCATGGAGCAGGGTCTTCCCACCTGTGCAAATGTAATAACATTGCCAAATGCTGCCCAAGGTCACAGTGAAGGGCCAGCAAACATACAGTCATGGAGCATCCCTCTCAGCAGGATCTAAGCAGAACTGCTCCCCAGCACAACGGCTGGAGCTGTTGCGGTCTCCATATCTTCCCAAGACTGAGACTCTGAACTACTTCTGAAAGATTTAGCTCTTAACTGAAGACCCAGAGGCACCTGCAACACAGCTCGGAGAGAGAAATAGTAATGGTACAAACATAACAACTGTCAAACAAAATGATTCTCTCCGAAACCAAAACCCAGACAATGTTAGATATATCAAGGCTTAGAAATAAAGCCCCCCTGCCACCAAAATCTATATTTGCCACAGTGATTTACTCTAGATGAAAAATTCTTCTATAAAAAAGACTAAACGTACTTTAAAATAATTGTATTTAGGGTGCTCAAAAAGATGTCGCTGCCTAGTTGCTAAGTCGCGTCTGAATCTTTGTGACTACGTGGACTGTAGCCCACCAGGCTCCTCTGTCCACGGGGTTTCCTAGGCAAGAATACTGGAGTGGGTTTCTGTTTTCTTCTCCAAGGGATTTTCCTGACCCAGGGATTAAACCCGTGTATCCTGGATCGGCAAGGGGGTTCTTTACTGTTGAGCCACCAAAGAAGCTCATTTATCAAAAAAAGTAAATGAAGACAAATAATTTTCATTAAAATTAAACAAAATTGATTCTTAGAATATAAAAAGAAAGAAAACAGTAATAAATAGGTATAAAAATGAACCAATAACTAATCTTAGAAATGAATAATATAATCAATTAAATTGAAATTTTAATAGATTGATCAATCCTATATTAGATGCAGTTAAAAAGAAATATAAGACAGAACTTTGGAATTCCAGTGAAATTCAAGAAAGATACATAATTTAGGTTCAACTCTTAAAAGGAATTCCAGAAGGAATGATGCGGCAACAGTGTATAAAATACTAATAACTGTTATTAGTTATTATAATAACTCAGTTATTAATAACTAAGGAGGGGGAAAACCCCCATATTTAAACTACTCATAGTGGAAATGCAGATCAGGAATAAATAAGATACCTTTAAAACCAGTAGAAGAAAGAAAAATTACCTGAAACATCATTAGATTGAGAATGAAATTCTCATCATCAGGAAGAGATGTTAGAAGATAATGGATGATAATTTCAAAATGCTGTGGTGATAAAACTAATGTCAACCTCGGATTTTGTACTCAGCTAAAGGCCATTCAAACTGTGAGCCTGTTTGTTTAAATTCTTCCTTCCCTCCACTTCTTACCAGGACTCTATTCTGGGTAAACCGCACCTCCCCAACCACTGACATCAGGCCTGGACAGACCATTTCCTTTGGCCTGTGGAAACTGGGAGAATGTGAGATCCCACAGTTCTGAGCAAAAGCCTGTAAGAGACATGGTGTGTCTTTCTTGATCATCTGCATCCGTGAGACGAGCATGAGACCGCTCTGCCTTCAGTCCAGGGTAAAAGTGAGGAAACCGTGTCCTGGAACGAGCCAGCTTGGACTAGCTTGCAAGACTGTCATATTTGTAGGAACTTTGAAATCCAGTTGTCAAATATAACTATTATAAAGAAAATAAAGTATATAACTTGCTGTTAAACCATATTAAAAACAAAGATAACAAGCATCCAAATCTTAACAGTTTCCAATAACTTTTCCGTCTCTTACTGCCCTCTCTGCTCTGGGTTCTGTGCACTAAGGCACCCCGGCCGTGGGAGCGCCCTACAAGCCAGAGCTTCTGGGACTCTCTCTCAAGTCTGTTCAGCCTGGCAAGTTGGTAGCTTCAGAACAGGAGTCAGTCACGGTGGGAGCATTTACACCACAGAAATTGGCAAGCACTAAAAGTCAGGGCTTTAGTTATCGCTTTGCTGATTCCTGTGACGACAAGAGAGTGAGCAATAAAAATGTCAATAATGCAGATTAAGCAAAAAGACGCCTTATCTGTAGCTGTTACATTTTAAACAGAGCAATGGTGGAAAAAATATTCTTCCAGTATCCAAAACTATTATCCAGTTCAGCAAAGAAGTTTCTCACATGATAGTTTTAATTGAGAGCAAATGATATACAATTCCTAGTTTTTCTTTTTTTCTCCTTTTCACAGAAGCCAGCCTACTATGTCAAAACGTTTCTAAAGTTAACTGAGAAGCACATAACACTTACATGTAAACATTTCTGTTATTTCTGGTCTAAGATAGATTTGAACCTGGATGACCCAGGAAGATGCTGCTCAGAGGGCTCCCTAGGACCACCCCCAAGGGCTGGGCAAGTGACGGAGCTTGGCTGGGACCCGGCATCAAACTACCATTTATGTCAGAAACTCAGAGGCCGTCTGAGCTGAGGGTGCCCAGGGAGGTCATCTGGTCACCTTCCCATTGGTTCTGGCGGTTCAGTCCAGAGCGGGGGAGGCCTTCCCCGGAGACGAGAAGAACTTCAGCGATGATGGCGCTGAGCTCCCGCAGCCTGTTACCTTTCAGGCCTGGGATCTCGTCTCCTGGGGTGCCAGTGGCTTGTTGCTCAATGAACAAATGATGAGCCAGCCAAGGATCAGGCTCCACGTCCTACCGTCTGTGCCGTAAAACCTGCCAACACTGGACTGCAGCCGGAATCCAAGCTCTGCAATCTCAGAGTGCCGCTGCACTCAGCCACGGTAGAGTAGGTGGTTCATTAGGAAACTAAGACTCTGAGAACCAGGCAGGACCATCTTCAGAGGCGACAGAAAAGGAGGGCGGCCCACCTTTTAATGAATGGCTTGCTCTTCAAGAAGCGCCTCCGGTCAGCAGCCCCTGGAGACAGGAGGTGTGGCGGGAACAGAGCCACGGGGCCCAGGGCTCTCGCTGAGGGAGCCCATGGTCAGCGCGGGCAGGGCCTGCCCACCCCGGACCCCCGCCACAAGAACCGCATGCAGACAGGAGAGGCGACTTCTGTGAGGAGACTGTCACCACGCTGTCCTTCTGCCGGAGCCCGGGCCGGCCACACACCCTTCACTTGTCACCGCCCAGCCGGCCGGCAGAACACAGCGCCCCGTGAAGCCTCCCTGAGTCACAAGCCGTTCAAGGCCATTAAAGTTCTTTTCAGACCTTCCCAGACTCATCCGGATACAAACACGCAAGTGGGCAAAATGCAGATGAGAACAGCCTCCCCGAAACGTCTCTCAGCACCACTTAGTTTTGAGGTTACTAGCTCTGCAGTCTTTAAGGTTCTAGGGGGAATTAGCTGGAATGTTTCTGGCATTAATTCTATGAGGCCAAAGGGAAATCTTTCATTACTGGAGGAAGGGCAGGCGGCTGCCAGGACCACGCTCCACAGAGCACCAGGCTGGAGAGGAGGGCGGAGTCCCCAGCGGACAGGCCAGGCCCAGGCAGCAGAAAGCCCAGTGCCAGGCCAGCTGTTCCATGCAGAACAGACCTGGCTCCGGGGAGCCAACTCCCTGTTGCTGGTCGAGCTCAGCTGGTCCGTGACTCGGCTCCTGGCTCCAAGGGCTTTTTAGGGCTTGATGGCCCAGAAGCCCTTCACCTCCTTCCAAGGTCAAGGCTCCGGGCAGGGAAGGTCGTCCTGCCAGGGTCCTCGGTGGCTGCACCCTGAGCGGTGCCCAGGCTGTGGGGGCCTGGGGACACAGCTCATCCTGGCCAGTTGCACTGACCCCTGCCAGGAACACAATCGGGCAGGACCTGCAAACTCAGCCCCCAGGGCAGGCCTGGCCCATGTTCCGTGATGGAGCTGAGGTTTATTTTCATCTAATCCCTCAGCCAGTTTTCTTTTTATGACCAGAGCTTTCTGTTGCAGGAAAAGAAACAACAATTCCAGCAGAAACAGCCAATGGGAGAGAAGGGGGTGGTGAGAGGACACGCAGGACCCAGACAGACCCTGAGCGAATGGGAGGCTCGGGCCCTCGGAACAGAGCGTCTGGAGGCAGAGCCCAGAGCGTCTGCAGGCAGCCACGCTCCGGAGCTGGAGACTGGAAGACAGGGCTGGTGTGAGCTGTCTGGGGAGAGCTCACACCATCACACTCGCCACATGCAACTGCCTTTGGTCGGCCACAGCACCAGTGAATCCCCAGACTGAGTGCTTACAGAACGCGTTTTCGCGTTTTCTCCGGCTGGGGCGGGCTGAGCTTCAAGGTCTCCGCAGATCCGGGCGTCAGGTCTGCCTAGCCCTCTGCTCGTCTCTCTAGGGATGCCAGGACGCTTCACTCTGCCCTCCCCTTGCCAGGCTGACAGCCCAGGCCCAGTGCCGCAGAGTCCCTGGGCCACCCTTTGTGACAGCGGCTGCGTGTGGAAATGTTTACAGGCCATTATCTCATGACCCACCCAGAGGGACGGGGCTGGGGACAGTGGGGAGCTGGAGGCCCGGCTCTGACAGCCCGCCTGCTCTAGGTGGGTTCAGCACTTGGCAACTTGGGCATCTTGGCATCTAAGGCATGACAGTGCTGACTGTCAAATGGCAAATCTTGTAATGTCAGTCAGTCTCTTTCCCTGTAAAGAGGAACAATCTCAGGAGTTTCATCATGGGGTCACGGGGATGGTGACATAGAGTAACGCAGGTGGAACGTCGCCCGGGATCTGCCCCACAGCCAGAAAACAGGCCTGGCCCTGCCGTGTGCCTCCTCGGGGGACAGAGCTTCTTCCTCCCAGAATCTGACAATTTACTGGGCTCTTTTCCCCCAAGGAAGCAGCTGTAATCCATGGCGTCGCACTAAACTGCATTCAAATATTCCCCAAGCTTTGATTACAGCCGACCAGCAGGCTTTTTCTCCAGATGGGACCTAGAAGAAAAGGATGCTGGCTGAGCGACCCTAGCAGCCAGCTGTTTATGCAGATGTAAGTGATTAGATCCGTCATGTCTGTGAATCCCAGGTTTATTCAAATTCCTTACTGACTCCAGTCAAATGCATTTGGTCGGCCCAGCCCCTCGGTGAGAACTGTTCCACTCACACACTTTGTCCTTATAGTTCTGCTGTCCATTCAAGTCCAGAGAGCAAACACATGCTGAAAGCCATCCCTGGGACCTCCCCCTGGTCCGGTGGCTAAGACTCCACGCTCCCAACGCAGGGGGCCCGGATTCAACCCTTGGCAGGGAACTAGATCCCACATGCCACCACCAAAGCAAAAACAAACAAACAAAAAAGATGCCACATAAATAAATAAATATAAAACATGAAAGAAAGAAAGACAGCAATGCCTGTAAAAGTCACTTTCATGGAGCCCATTCATGTACTGGGCACTGGGATCAAGCCTTCCTGGGGATGATCTGGTTTCATCTCTACACTAATCTACCAGGTAAATGCTGGCATCAGGAGCACGCTGTAATAGGCTTAAATGACTGGCTGAGGGTCATGGAGCTTGTTGACAGGTGATGGAGTCTTGGAATATGTCTCAAGCACCTTTAACGATGACAAAGGACATCCAGCAAGTTCCTCATGGCAGTAAAAGGCTAGTGATCAATGTGTGTCCCGGGGAATAAGTTATATTTTCCTCCTACTTCCACTTGCCTGTTTGTTCTAAAAGTTTATAGGTGTAATAAATGCCTAGTGAAATCTCTGGCTCTGTGTATAACACATTTACAGATGAAAGATGGACCTCACAAAGTGCTACCATGAACCCACGGGAAACTGTCTCTAAATATTCCAGTAAAAACCTGAATTTTAAGCAGCATCTATAATGAGCACAAGATTTACTTCTTAAAAGAAAAATTAAAGATGATCAGTTCCCCACTGCATATTCTTGAGTGACTTATCAAAATCAGTTCATTATCAGTTCAGTTCAGTTCAGTCTCTCATTCATGTCTGACTCTCTGTGACCCCATGGACTGTAGCACACCAGGCCTCCCTGTCCATCACCAACTCCAGGAGTTTACTCAAACTCATGTCCATTGAGTCAGTGATGAAATCCAACCATCCCATCCTCTGTCACCCCCTTCTCCTCCCGCCTTCAATCTTTCCCAGCATCACGGTCTTTCCCAATGGGTCAGTTCTTGGCATCAGGTAGTCAAAGTATTGGAGCTTCAGCTTCAGCATCAGTCCTTCCAATGAGTATTCAGGACTGATTTCCTTTAGGATGGACTAACTGGATCTCCTTGAAGTTCAAGGCACTTTCAAGAGTCTCCTCCAACACCATAGTTCAAAAACATCAATTCTTCAGTACTCAGCTTTCTTTTACAGTCCAACTCTCACACCCATACATGACTACTATAAAAACCATAGCTTTGGCTAGACAGACGTTTGTTGGCAGAGCAATGTCTCTGCTTCTTAATATGCTGTTTATGTTGGTCACAGCTTTTCTTCCAAGGAGCAAGCATCTTTTAATTTCATGGCTGCAATCACCATCTGCAGTGATTTTGGAGCTCCAAAAAACCAAGTCAGCCACTATTTCCATTGTTTCCCCACCTATTTGCTAGGAAACAATTCCAAACAGTATGAAAAGGCAGTTAACTATATGCCTGGGTTTATTTCTGAGCTCTCTATTCTGTTCTGCTGGTTTGTACGCCTGTGTTCATGTGACTCTTTTGACCTCTCCAACAAATGGTGCTGAAAACCGGAGTGCCACATACAGAAGGATGTAATTGGAGGCTTACATTGCATCATACGCAAAAATCAACTCAAATGGATAGAAGACTTGAACATAAGGCCTGAAACTGTAAGACTCTTAGAAGAAAATGCAGGAGAAAAGCTTCTTTACATTCATCTTGGCAATGATATCACACATGTGACACCAAAAGCACAGGTGACAAAAGCAAAAACAGACAAGCGTGAATCCACCAAACTAAGACGCTTCTACCCAGCAAAGAAAACAACCTCCAAAATGAAAGGACCAACTACAGGAAGGGGGCAACAGCTGCAAGCAATGTATGTGGTAAGGGGTTCACATCCAAATTATACAAAGAGCTCATGCAACTCAACTGAGGAAACACAAATAACCCCAGATGGACCCATAGACATTTGTCCAAAGAAACAATGATGGCCAGCAGGTGTATGGGAAGGTGCCCAACACCGTTGGGGAAATGGAGGAATAGTCTATTTTGTCCAAAGTCTACAAATTGTCTGGTTTTTTTTTAGAATAAGAGAAACTACTAGAGATTTTTAAAACCCAGTTATAGTAAATTAAATTGTTTTATCAGTTATTTATACTGTTGCTTATGTCATTTTGAAAAGGGCTAATTAGTCTGGATGGAAATTTTGTGTTTGTTGTAAAAACATTGGTTTATTAATCACAAGATTGTATTTCAGCACAAAATAGTTTTATGTCATCTTACTATTACTGGATGATGGTAACAGTAAGCCCTGAGGGTGGCCAACCTAAAATTTCTAAGAAGTACCTGCTACATTAACACTGTCCAGTATTCACAAAGAGGACCATGAATGAAGATCTGATGTGGATTAAAAACGTTAAATCCTGTGATTGCGATCTGAGCCCAGATGTCATAAACCTGATGGCTGTCGGCTTCTGTCGCCGCAAGGACTGCTGTGAAATAGAACCACCTTGCTGCACCTCTCGGACCAGTGTTTCTCAGTTTAACCTTGAGAAACCACACACTAGGCTCCACTCATCGATTCCAGGTAACTTTTTAAAAATATGTTACAATTATTAAAAATATTAAAATGAGCATATAGCTTTAAAATAGCAAAAGAAAAATCTCATCACATTTACTGACAGACTTACATGGCAGTGAGTGCTGGGCACATCTGTCAGCAATTCTGGGTGTTTGGGTGGAAACAATATCAAAACTATGGAGAGATTTCTCAGTGGGTTATTGCCGGAAGGTGAAACAGTTCAATTTAGGAGACAGTGATGGATGGATTCCTGCAAGCCCACTCCCGTCTACATTAGATACCATTCTTTTCTTTATGATCTATGGCAACTCCTGCACATAATTTTTAGGGGTTTCCCTGGTGGCTCAGATGATAGAGAATCCGCCTGCCAATCTGAGAGACCCGGTTTCCTCTCTGGGTCAGGAAGACCCCCTGGAGGAAAGCATGGCAGCCCACTCCAGAATTGCTGCCAGGAGAACCCCACGCACAGAGCCGCCTGGAGGACTACGGTCCACGGAGCCACAGAGTCGGACACGACTGAAGTGACTGGGCACACACAAACTTAATCAGCCTCAAGACACATCACGATGTCTGTCGAATGGGTGAGTAAAATCCTCACGTGCCCAGAAAGAGTATGGGTGATGCAGCGTTTTCCCAGCTCGTTCTTCAGACAACGTCAGGGTATCTGATCCTCCACTTTACAGCCCATAAAGCCCTGGCCAGCACTGAAGGCCTCGGGAGATCCCAGGTTCTGGGTGCAGCCCAGGGTGCCCCAGGTCACGCCACGCACCCCAGCCCCAGTCCGGAGGGTCCGCTGCTGCGGGCAGGTCAGAGAGAAGAGGATCTGCCTGTGTCCTGCACATTCCCGGTGTCCCCGTTGACCAACACTTGTGACCTGCGATCCATTCCTGGGACCGGGGTGTATGATTCCTCAAGTGTGTAGCAATAAAGTACACAAACATCTCAAACACAGGCAACTAACACACGTGATGGAAAGTATACTTATCAAGGCAGCCCCAGCCTTCAGCTGCTCAGCCACTAGGACCTGAGCATGTGCTCTGCGTGGCACATCTAACACCTAAACCTGTGTGGCTGTTAAGAAAACACATTTAATTCTGTGCAAAACTTTCTTAGCTGTACATTTCAAATTCCTGTAATACAGAAAAAATATTTCCCATCTCTTCTTTCCTCTGAAAATGCCAAACTACCTGGATTTATGTTGCTTAGGCAACCTTACTGAAACATTGTTCAACTTCACAATAAGACACCAGACTCCCACAGGCTGCCACCACTTACTTTTCCTGTGGTATTACCTGATCTGTGAGGCTGCTATATTTTAGAAGAAAACAGCTTTTTAAGAGAAAACATTAACGTTTAACAGAAGAAGTTGACAAATTACCTTCAGCATTCCACTAAAATCTGTCTTTTGCAAAAATGGTATTTACAGGGACTGCCCTGGTGGTCCAGTGGCTAAGACTCCTCACTCCCAGTGCAGGGGCCTGAGTTCAATCCCTGGTCAGGGAACCATAGCCCACGTGCCACAGCTGCAGATTCCACGTGCTACAACTCAGAGAGAGCTCATGCTGCAGCTGAGACCCGGAAGAGACAAAGAAATAAATCAGTTAATTAAAATGTTTTTAAAAATAGTATTTGGAAGATTTGGAAACAGTATTCACGATACAGTCATATACTATATCTGAGTCAAATTGTACATTTTAAGTGTACAATTACACTCAATCTGTTAGAAAGAATTTGTTCAGTTATTCATTTATTGCAACCTGGGGCATGTTGATTGACACAGGTAATCTTTGAAATAAACTTTGTTTAGCTGACAAAATCTTTGGATTACTTCATTCTCAAATATTTTCTCTTGACACCCATTAATTAAAAAGTAAGTGACACTAAGACATCAAAATATGTGTCCTTTCAGGGTAAAGTAGTGTTAAAGTCAGAGGCAGACACATAACCTCAGGCTTTCACTAATAAATGAGACAAAATAAAAATCAGGTTTTTCTACAGAGCTAGCAAAGAGGAGCAGAAACAGGAAACCTCTGACCTGAATGTCTGAGATTTTGGAGCTCTCGGTAGGAAGTGATGGAACTGTGGCGGCTTCCAAACCTGGATAAGGTGTCCGGTGGAGAAACTTTGCAGAGGCGAGGGGACATCAGTGGGCACTGAAGGATCATGTGGGTACAGCGGCGGACTGCAGTCTGCAAGAAGGAGCTCCAAGGCAAGGGCCGAGCATCCTGTTTAAGGGCCGAGCATCCTGTTCAAGAAGCCGCTCAGTCACTTCTCCCCAAGTTTTGCCAAAAACAGCAGTGGAGGAGATGCTGGTCAGGACATTGCAGAGTTTTTTTGTTGTTGAAGTGTCTGGAGGCCATGGCTCTCCTGGAGTTGAAACCAAAGCTGAGCCAAAAATACCTGTCTCCCCCTTGTACTGACAAGATCCAGAAAGTGGATGGCACATGGGTGATCACAACCCAACCTGATCTGATTAAAGCAATGACTCTGAACCAGCTCAGCTAGACTCTGGGAAATCTGAAAAAATCAGCCTAGCCCCATCTGGGAAAGGAATGAAACAAAATCAAGTTGCATTCAAGACTCCACTCTTCTTTCATAAACAGTGTCCAGAATCAAAGGAAAAGTCACAAGATACGCAAGGAAGCAAAAGATATCACCCATGACCAAGTGAGACACAGTGAACAGAAGAAGATTCTTGGTTCATCCTACTGTTAGAACCGGCAAACCAAGTCTCTAAATGTGACAATACAGCTTCAAGCCAGGTGGTCTTTAATACAAGCTGTGAGAAGTTCTGTTGAGAGCACAGACCCCTGGTATGCTGCGATGAGAAGGGCACTTCACCCCTGCCGTCCTCCTCCCAAAGACACTACCCAGTCCAGTTGTTAGACAAGCAGGTCTCAGCTGAGGGAACTCTGCAGAACGCCTGACCAGCAGTCTGCTCAGAATCAAGGTCATCAAGAACAAAGAAAGTCTGAGAAACTGCTGCAGCCAAGAGAAGCCTAAGGAGACATGCGACTAAATGTAATGTGATGTCCTGCTTGGGATCCTGGGTGAGAACCCAGTACGGAAAAAGGACATCAGAAGTATGGATAAAGCATGGATTTAGTTAACATATCAACACTTGTTTACTGATATTGTCTAACCTCTCAAACCACAGCAAGAAGTCAGTAACAGGAGAAGCAGCACATGAGGTAATGGGGGACTGCCTGTCCCACTTCTGCAGTCACTCTACAGACCTAAAACCTTCCAAAAGTGAGTGTTTATTATTTTAGAAAACCAAAGCATTGCTGGAAAAAGTGAACATAGAATCAACAACGTGTGAGGAACACTGAGAGGTCCACAATATGCATAATTAAACTCCCGGAAGAAGAAAAGATGGAGCATGGGGCAGAGAGAAAGATCTGAAAAGTTCTGGCTGGAAATTGTCCAACTTTGATGAAAATAAAAAGGGGCCCACAAATTCAAGGAGCAAAATAAATGCCAAATATGCAAACTCTGGGAGATAGTGAAGGACAGGGAAGCCTGATGTGCTGCAGTCCATGGGTCTCAAAGAGTCAGACATAACTTAGTGACTGAACAACAACAAATGATAAATTCAAAGAAAACCACAGCTAGGCACATCCTGGCCAAACTGATGAAAGAGTAGATAACGAAAAATATCTAAGAAGTCGGTGAAAAATGCACATTATTTCAGGGGAACAAAAGGAAGGATGGCGACTTCTCCTAAGACAACAGTAGGAGGGCAGCAAAGCTATACTGGAAATACAGAGCTGAAAATAAACCCTGCCAACTCAGAACCCTATGTCCACAAGAAAAGAAGAAGGAGCGAGACAAGGAGAAGGAGGAGAGAGAGCAGGAAGAGGGACAAAGACAGTTCCAGTGCATGAGACGAGCGATGCTGTAGCCAACAGACTAGCGACATAAGGACGAGATTCAGAAGGAAGCTCTGAGCCTTAAAGGAAAGAGCGGTAGATGGAACCTTGGGCCTGCAGGCAGGAAGGAAGAGCGTCAAAATATAAATACATGGTGAAAATATTTTTCTCTTTTCCTAATTACTTTGAAGATAAACAACTGTTTGGAAATCACTAACGATGACTATCAGGTTTATAACTGATTGAAGTAAAACACACGGCAGCAGCGACAGGCACTAAGGTAAGTGGGAACAGAAACACGGAAGGTCTCCTGTTGTGGGATTCTTACACTCCTTCCTTGTGACGTGTCGTAACGTCAACTCACCACTGATCACTAGCTATGGCTCCATCTTAAATCCTTAGAGCAACAGCGCAGATTTCAAAAGACTGGTGTAGAATCAGAATACATAAAACGGAATAGTATAACAATCATTGAATAATCCAAAGGAAGGCAGAGGAAGGAACAAAAAAACAGATGGGCTATATGAGAGAAGCTAATGGGGCAGCAAACCTAAAGCCAACCACGTCAGAAGCTATGGGAGGTGCAAATGCTTACAAACTCCAAATGAAAGACTGAAATAGAATGCATTTTTTCCCAAAAAACCACAGAATCCAGCCAAATCCTGCAAACCTGGACAGACTGTGAGGGAGAGAAAGGTGGCGGGCTGAGCACAGAGCCCATCACGGCGTCTCAGCAAGAGCGAGGCTGACCTCCAGGCAGTGCTCCTGGGCACCCAGGGCATTTCCTAAATGAAGGGAGAGCGAGTGCCAGGCTGGCCTTGCCCGGCCCCGCGGCCCCCTCCCGTGGGAGCCCCCAACCAAAACAGATGGCAACAGGGGGCCTCGACTCGGGTGTTTCTGTTGATGTTTGTTGAACAGAAAGACGCCACCTCACCAGCAGCTCTAAGCAGCCGCTTCCCTGGGACACTGTACCCCCAGAGCCGCCCCAGCCACCCCCATCTCCCCAGAGGGCCCCTCCTTCTGGCCCAGGAGCCTGCAGCCCGGAGGCATCCCCAGGGCCGGTGTCCCAGGCCCGGGCCAGACCGAGGGCTTGGGGAATCCCAGCTAAGAGCTGGGGTCACGGGGCCACTGTGTGCTGAGAGCCGGGAGGTGGACAGCGCCCCTCCTGCTGACCACAGGGGTCCCCCCAGAGCCAGGGTGAGCCACGGACCGGGGCCCCGCCCTGCCCCTCGAGAGCCGCCAAACCCCGTGACGACGTGGCTGCCGTGGAGGCCCACCACCCGCGGGCTCCCCGTGGCCCCGCGCGGCCCCTGTTGGCGATTTTGTCTTGATCATTGAAGCCGGGGAGTCATTTAAAGACAGTGGGTGCGTTGATGGCCTTTCTCAACCAAGGGAAACGCTCCGTTATTACCGAGACTCAGCCAGGGGCAGAGGCTGCAAGTGCAGAGAAAATAGTCCACCGCCTCCGCTTTCCGCTTGGCCCAGCCGATCCGCCAGTTATTGGAGCCAAGGCGACAATTTCACAGCAGCCGGAGCAAACGGGTGTCCGTCACCCGGAATCCAACCTTATTCTTCTCCACAGTGTGCGGTGAGTGGATGGGCTTCAAACAGGGAAAGAGAAAAATTTCTGGATCTTTTTCTGTAAATTGTCCAAGTATAAACTTTCTTTAAGAAAAACACCTGATTCCAGCAAGCAAGCCAGCCCGGTATAAACCTTCGAGCTGGGAGCCTTGAAGACGTCCTCCCACGAGAACCCATTAGGAGGAGCGTGCTGGGCCAGAGCAGGGACCTCGCCCCAGACGCCCCTGGGGTCGCATGACTCAGGAGTGGCCGGCCCCCAGGCCCCGGCCCTCTCCTGGCCCAGACCCCAGGGGCCCGGGCGGGTGGGGCTATTCTCAGTCCTGTGCCCCCAGGGGGCAGCGCTGTGGGACGCTGCCGTCCATGCCCCGCGTCCGCAGGAACAGCTCTGAGTGCGTTCTGGTCCTCCCCACCGCCCTCCAGCTGCTGTCCAGGCCCATCCTGCCGGCGCGGGGCTCTCAGACACCTACGGGGGACCGCTCTCCTAGAGCCTGCAGGCCTCGCTGACCCCTCTAACCGGGACCTCCCCTCCTCCCACCCCAAGCCCCCAGTGGACGGCAAACTGGACCACCCTGGCCGTCTGCACTTGACACCCCCACTCCACGCCCTGGGCCTGGACTCTGTCTCAACAGGGCATCCGGCCTGTGAGGTCTCTCATCTTGGATCCACTGGCGTCTCCAACTCAAAACGCCCAAGTGGGCCTTCTGTTCCTCTGCACTCATCACCCTCCGGGCCTATGGGTGGGGCCCTGCGCTCCCCCTGTGGTCACTCCTGGGTGTCCTGCATCCCTCAGGCTCCCCTCCGGCCCATCCGGGAGCATCCGGCTCCTGCTCCCCGCTTCCCCCCCATGGAGCAGCCCCTCCCCTAGCCTCTGGGCCAGGTCTATGAGCCAGCACACCATCCCAGCCCCAGCCTCGTGCGATGGCCGAAAGGCCCTCCTTGCACCTCTGCGGCCTGCCCCAGCTGTGCCCGCCAGGCGGTGTCCTCCTCCCAGGCCACCACGACCTCGTCCCTCAGAGCCTCTTCCTCCTCCATCCTTCCTCATCCTCCCTGGATCCTGTGGATGAGCGGCCTCAACCCCAGTCCCTGGGCCTCCAGATCCGTGAGAATCCACCTCCAGTATGTTAAGCCTCAGCTTGCGTTCCTTGGTCACGTCAGCTGCAGGGACCCGTCCGCCGCCCCTGGACTGTCTGCAGAGGCAGAGCGCGTACGCAGCCTTGGCTGCACCAGGGTCCCTCCTCTGCGCTCGTGTGAGCCCCCCCGCCCCCGCCCAGCATTACAGCCCCGCCAGCCCCTCCCAGCCTTTGGTCAGGCGCTGTTGTGTCCCCCACTCCCACCTGGGAGCCACCGAGGGCAAGGCGCCCACCAGGGCATCCAAGGGGACCCGGGCTGAGGGCGTCTTCCGGGCCACGTCCTACAAGTACCACCACAAGGACCAGAGACGGAGTTCCCAGCATCGCAGGGAGGCCCACGGCTGAGACCCGGGGAGAAAAGACTCACCCTGCCTCACATCCGCGCCACAGTGATGAAAGGGCCACCTCCTCAGGCCTGATCCAGCCACACCTAATGGGGAAGGAAAGGCAGCCTGTCAGAACCAGATTCTCAGGAAAAGACGGCATTTTCGCATTACCACGACAGTTCAGAAACACTCTGAGGAGTTGTCTTGGACAATGACATGAATGAATTCAGTGTCTCGAATGCAGCCTTCAACGTTCCCCGCCTGCCACTGCCCTCCACAGCCTCGTGCGTGGCTGGGGTCCCCCTGCCCTGAGCTCCGGGTCAAGGCTGCCAGCGAGTCGACACCCTGCCCACTTTGTTGAGACCATCAGGACAGCGATCGCCTTCCATAATCTGATCAATGAAAACGCACCAGGTGAGAGACAGTGTTTTAAAAAGTAATTGTTTAAATGAACTTGATATTTTTATTGCAAAAATATATCACAACACACTTCAAGGTTGAAATTTAGTTCAGTAACCACAGACCATTATTCAGATGATTCATGGAGAAGCTAATGACAAACACTGTTGTGTTTTAAATAATCTAATAAGACGAATATTTACAGGGGAGGATACTGGTTGGGTGTACACACACAAAGTGGTGTGTTCATCCACGGTGAGGAAATTAGTTAAATTCTGTCAGACCTGGCTCTTCTTTCTAAACGTGATGCCAGGGGCGTCATTCACGTTTACTCCTGGCTTCCCAGCTGGTTTTCTCACAGCCTGCAGTGCAGACGCAGGCCTGGCCTTGGAGGGTCTGCTCGTGTACATGGTCTCACCTGGGCAGGTAGGCGGCCCTTCGGGTCTTACCTTCAGAACCAGCATCGTTTTCCTGGGGAGGCTCGGCTACGGCGTCCTGGGTTCACCAGCAGGGACTCCTGCAGGGCAGTGCGGCCACGGGTGGGCAGTGAGGCGCGGAGGGGGCTCAGGGACCCCATTTCCCTGCCTGGTCTGGAGCCAGGGGCCTGGAGGGGCCTGGGGTCAGGAGGCTGTCCACACTGGGGCCTGGTCTTACTGTCACCGGTGACGTGCCTGCGCCTCATCCCACGGCCTCTCGGAGTCAGCCAGTTCTCTCACACCTCCTCCAGGGAGCTGACGTCATGCCCAGGCTGCCACAGGGTTGCTAGGAAACGCCATGAAACCAGGCGGCCACATAGATGCCCCGAGTCTGGGGTCGGGGCTCTTTGGTTCACTGACAGCCCCCGTGCCCCTCACGACCTGCTCTCCTGTAGATGCAAATCTGCCCGGGGCTGCCCAGGCCACCCTGGCAGCTGGTTTTGCAAGACTGTAAGCAACCCCGGGAAAGACTGAAGGCGGGAGGAGAAGGGGACGACAGAGCATGAGGTGGCTGGATGGCATCACCGACTCAATGGGCATGAGTTTGAGCAAGCTCCGGGAGTTGGTGATGGACGGGGAACCCTGGTGTGCTGCAGTCCATGGGGTCAGCATTCATAACAGAAGTTATGAATGCTACTTTTTCCCAGCAATTAAGATGGTGAAACACGCCTGCTCTCTGCAATTTGCAATTTTACCTACTTACCCCTAAAGCAACATTCCATGTAAATGCATATTTAAAGCAAAATCCTCAACTGGCTGAGGAAGGGGCCACCTCATATGGAGCCACAATCTTTAAGGAATCGTCTTTAAGGAATCTTTAAGTATCAGAGTGTTAGCTGCTCAGTTGTGTCCGACTCTTTGTGACCCCATGGGCTTTAACCCACCAAGCTCCTCTGTCCATGGAATTCTCCAGGGAAGAATATTGGAGTGGGTAGCCATTCCCTTCTCCAGGTGATCTTCCAGGCCCAAGGATCAAAGCCAGGTCTCCTGTATTGCAGGCAGATTTTTTATAGTCTTAGCAACCAGGGAAGCCCTGTAAGTCTCAAAAGGGGACAGTTGAGTAAACAAGATCCATTTCAAGGCAGAATACATTAATCTAAGAACAAAGAACAAAATTAAGGATCGGCAGTATGGGGCACTGATTCCGAAAAACCAAGGTGTCCTGAGGTGGACCCTGCCACCTGCTACTCTCTGAGACAAATGCAGACTAAACATTTCCATTTGTATAGCGGGAGTACTTATCACAGAAACACAGAGGTCAGTGATGGGTCATCTTGAATCAGATGATTTCACTTGAAGGAAAGTCTCTTACGTTTTGTATACAGAAGAAAGAAGATAAAGCAAACGCAGATGGCAAAACCATTTAGCATCTTTTAGCATTAACAATTCTTGAATCTTGCCTTGATGTGGAGAAGAATGTGTCAGTTAAGGTGGCCAGTGGGGCCATGGGACACAGAAAAACCTAGTTCTAGAACACTGTGAAGCACCACTTAGATCCCAAGCTGTGTGCTTTTAAAAACAGTACATAAATGATTTCAGAAGTTTCACCGCTTAAAAAAAAAGTATCATGTCATTTTCTATAACAAGCAGAGAGGAACTCAGAACTGTTGAAGGGAGTCCATGAAATAATGCTGAAGGCCAAAGAATGTTACAAATGTGAAGCTTTTGGAGTATGGGAGGAGGAGAAAAGGAGCAATTTCATCAAAAGGCCTCCATGTGCTGACTCTGGAAATGTCTGCTCTGCAAATCACTGTGGACAAAGGCGGTGGTCCCGCTGCCACTCAGCTTCAGCCGACCAGCCCCTTCTTGGTAAGCTGCTTAAAAAGCCCAGTAGTGGGAAGCTTGGTGAGCTGGGAGAGGGGAGAAGACAGAATCCCGGAGTGCACAGGTGCCTTGGAGGTTCCAGTGGAAGGCTGCATCTCTCTGCCATCCTGCATACATGTGCAACAAGGCAGAAAGGGCAAGCCTCACCTCGCTACCCTTTCCTGAGAGACAGCCAACTTGTCAGTCCTTCCATCCAGCTGCATCAGTTGATGAGTGCACGTGACTTTCCAGGCAGTTCCAGGAAATGAGAATGGATTCTGCCTGGGCAGCACCCAAGACCAGGACCTGAGTCCCAGGCGGCCCCATCGCGGCCGGTGGGCCAGGCATGGAGCAGGGCACTCGCTGTCACGTCCTGACGAATGGCCTCATCTTCTCTGCACACCTGTGATCACAAGGGGATGAGAGAGAGGCAGACAGACAGACACAGGCAGGCAGGGCGCACAGCAAGCGGCCGGGGCCTCTGTCCCCTGTAGTGCGGGCCCCCCCACAAGCCCCAGAGCTCACTGGAGGCCAGCTGCATGGGCGAGATCTTGCTGGCTTACTTCCGTCAACGACACACTTCTTAGCACACGCTGCAGACTCGCAAGGAGAGCTGCTTCCTGGTGGTTCGAGTGTCAGTATCTGTCTTGTGAGGAATTCCCAACGGGGAATAAAGGTAGAAAACTTGAAAACTTGCAGACATCACATTCGAAATGCAAACAGTGAGTTATGGGCTTGGAACTAATAAGCCCGCAATAAACGTGGCCCTGGATCCGGCGGAAATGACATGGAATGTGCCACAAAGCATAAAAAGTCTCTTTTTGAGTCAAAAGCTGACAGTTCCCATAAAATTCAATACTGAAAAAAGATACCAATGTCAATCATAACGGAGAGTCTGACAAGTCCTCAGCAGAAAGCCTTTTCTTTTCTGTGGAGAAGAAAATCAAAGGAAACAGAATTCACCAAGAGCCCCAATTACCCTAAATATATGTAACAACACAGATCGGCGGGGGCCAGCTCAGAGCTCACTCACTCCTGAATTCCAGCTCAGACGTCCCATTCTCTTCAGAAATCTTTCCCTGAACATTTCCAGGAAAGTCAGATTCCACATGTGTGTAAAGCAGAGCTCATCTTCCCCGAATCCCATGACCCCAGACGTTTCCCCTGTGGATGCACCCCACCTCTCCCAGCCCTGGATCGTGAGCGCGTCCTCCCACTAGTGAACCTGCCTGCCTCCACTCACTCGCCCCATGCCCGCCTCTCATCTGAAAGTGGCCCATGTGCCCCTTGTCGGGACCTGGCACCCCCAACCCCCTCTATTTAGCCTAGTCCTCCCTCCAGCATCAAGGAGATGGTGGCCCTGCTGCCCCTCAGAAGCAGTACACCCACCACCAAACTCTGCTTCATAACCTCGCTAACTGAAAAAAGACCTTATGCAATTCTTGCAAAAATTATCGCAAGCGCATCAACTGTTACAAGCTGTTGAAAAAAAACTTATTGTTCTAATTGTAATAGATCAGAAATTCGAAGATTTTTGAAAATCCTTTAAGTCCATGAAAAGTGGGTCGGCTCCTGGGGAATCTGGAGGCCTTAGGCCTGAAGGTTAGGACAACGAATGAGGCAAAACAGAATTGGGGCACAGCTGTGTTTTCACAGAAGGAAAAGGGCGACTTTGGTGGCTGGAAAATGTGGTTCCCAGCGTGGAACGACTTGCTCAGCCATGCCCCCACCTCTCCTGGAGCCCCGGCCTGGGGGAGGGTGGAAACAGAATACTGTGCCCCCCGAGCCGAGTCAGGGCTTACAGACCCCTGGGGGCAGCCCAGCAAAGCATCACGGTGCAGCGAAGGCCGTGAGCAGGGAGCCAGAGTCGCATCGTCTGGGGGCTTTAGCTCTCTGAGGACAAACGGGGAGGGGCTCGGTGCTTGGTCTGAGGCATGATGGGTGGGAGGCACTAGGGTCTCCGCTGAACTCGTGCCCTGGCAGTCAGGCATCTCTCTTGGCCCCCTTTGCCTCCCTGTGAGCCATTCCTGCCTGGCCCACTGTTCAGTTCAGTCGCTCAGTCATGTCCGACTCTTTGGGACCCCATGGACTGCAGCACGCCAGGCCTCCCTGTCCATCGCCACCTCCTGGAGTTTACTCAAACTCATGTCCATCGAGTCAGTGATGCCATCCAGCCATCTCATCCTCTGGTCCTCTGACCCTCCTGTAAATTCTGTGAGTAACTGGTACTCTCTGAACAACCAGTGCACCATCACCCCTCTAGGCCAGAATAAACCTGAGAGTGTTCTCTCTGCAGCTAAGAACCCTGTTACCGGAGGTCTGCAGGTAGCAAATCCGGGCCTTCATGACCAGGTGGCTGAGTCCTGAGCCTGGGGTGCGGGCAGCCCCCAGCACACAGAGGTGGAGCAACTACTTCATGATCACCCAGCCCGAGGATGACGTGCCTCTGGAAGCCAAGGCTTGGGCACAGCAAGATGCTGCATTTCTAAGTCATTAGGATGGGCATGAGGAATTTAAGGCCTGTCAGTCAGGCGGGTGGCTTCTAATCATGACAAGGAACCTAAAAATAAAACAAGTTCAAAGCTAAAACCTCTCAGCATAAGATGTGATCAAGGGATGAGACGATTCTGTCACTGCCTTCCGTGAATCCCTTATCTCCTGTAGCTGGATAATTCAATGCAAAGTCTGATTCCTCGGGTTGTTGAACCACAACGTAAGAAGTCTGTTACACACGTGCCTCTGCAAGTCTCTGCGGAAGGTGGGGTGGGCCTAAAAATTGGGACAAGGGTGTTTGGGAGGATTTTAATGAATCCAGGGCTCCTCCCAAACCACCAACCTCCTGAGCCTCACCGGCAGAAGTAGCAATGCTTCCTGCCACCGCTAGAGCTGCTGCCACCTCAGAACATGGCCGGGCCTCACCAGAGTGTTGTGTTGACAAAATGCCGTTGCTCTGGCCTTGTCTCTACACCCCCACCCCATTTTCTTTAGATCTATAGTTAGAAGCAGACTCTCTTTATGACCCAGGAAGCTAATTATAGCATCCAACCCCAGAGAAGACGTACCCTCTAAAAGAAATTCAAGGTCATCATTGGTAACAGAAAGAAAACTTGAAGACTGTGTAAGGGTATCTATTTGAAGACGCTGGACCTAGGAGAAGAGGACATACATTTAAATAAAAGTTAATTATGCAAATGGGGAACGTAGAGATTCTGGATTCTGGGGCTCACTTGATTACCTGGGAATGGACTAGTTGATTTCCCAATTGTTGACGGCAACCTGGACTCGGTGAGAGCTGGTGCTGAATGAAGCTGAGATGCCAGAACCCTGTGTGTGGTGAGGAGAAGGAACTGGAAGCAGCGATCCATGCAGGAATGGGTCGGGGTTCCTGCACGCAGACATCAGAGTCCACTCCGGTGGGTTCTACTGCAGAGGACTCCTTAGCCCACAGTGTCTCCAGAAGTGTGGCCACGAGCTTGGAAGCCGTAGATCCGGGAGTCGTGTGCCCAGGAGAAGCTGTGGGACACGGTTCCAGCAGGAATCCCACTGCGGCCACCCTGGCCCCCGACGCTGGTGGCTAGGTGGAGGGCCAGGTCCATAACTGTGCCCGAGGGCCAGCCTGTGGCCATGGAGCCAGCTCCTAAGGGCCTGGCTCTTCAGACTTGCCCCCAAGAAGCGCGTGGTTGGTCTGATGGGCAGAGCCTCTGGTCACGTGCGGATTAGGCTTTCCAGCCTCTAGAGGATAGGAGGCTCACTCCCGGAGAGTAAATCACATGCTGAAGGAAGCACCCTGAATGTTTTCCAAAGGAAATCCTGAAATGCGTCGTCTCTACGATCCCGAGCCTGTGCTGAACAGAAGAGGGCCTGCCGCATGTGCTGATGTTTACCTGACGAAGGCCCGCGGTCACACGTGCTGGAGACGGAGCAGAGATGAGCGTGCAGCGGGGCTCGTGGGAAGACGCCCGAGCACGGCTGCACCGGCGCAGCCATCAGCCATCATCGCTGCCCTAGGCGACCGGACGACGCTTCCTCAGTGTGGAGGCGGCGGGCTCAGCCTGCCCGAGTGGAGCGTTCAACCAAAGACGCACAGTCAGCCACAACAAACCCACAAGCCATTTCTGCACCAGACGCAGCTTTTCCAAGAGAGAAAAAATGACAAGTTCTTTACTTCAGTTATTCGGACAGTAAATGAGTAACTGGTACCGCACGAAGTCAGGAAGCCAGGAGATCTACGCAGGAGCAGAGTACATTTCTCTGTCTCAGGAAAGCAACCAACCTTCCTGGGGCCTCTGTTTTCATTTTTTTATTTTTATTAATAAAAGTGTATTAATACAAATTTATTAATAAAAATTGTGGGCATGATGATTTGATCTATAGATGCAGAGTGAAAAGATGACCACAGCCATTTTTTTTTAATGTGGGCACCAGAAATCTCCTCTCCTAGAGAATTTCCAGAATCCAACACAGTATGGTTAGCTCTGGTCACCCCGCTGAGCACATGCGACTCGCCAGGCCCAGGGATGGGTTTGGGCTGGTGCCCCTCCACCAGCAGGACTCAAGAAAAATGTGTGAGCTTGTGTCTTTCATTTCCGAAGACCAAGAGCATCTTCAAAGCAGTGAAAGGCCCCAGAGGAGTGCTGGTTAACAGCCCTGTTTTACAGCTGAGGAGATTATAAGAGAGAGCAGTGAGGAATGGAGGTAAGATCACACGGCCAGTCAGTGGTTCGGGAACGGTCAGCAGTCTCCCTTCCGGTCCAGTGCGTTTCTGACACCTGCCCCTGCTCTGTGGCCCAGGAAACCGGCATCCAGAGAAAATGCTTCTTTAGGATAAAATCAGGCTTCCCTGCTGGCTCAGATGGTAAAGAATCTGCCTGCAATGCCGGAGACCAGGGTTCAATCCCTGGGTCAGGAAGATTCCCTGGAGGAGGGAATGGTTACCCACTCCAGTATTCTTGCCTGGAGAATCCCATGAAAACGTCGGAGCCTGACAGGCTACAGTCCATGTAAGATAAAATTAGGGCCCTTAAATTCAAGAAAGAGAGACCACTGTAAAGCCATAGAAAGTTCTTAAAAATAACTATATAACATCCTCACAGACAAGTTACACTCTTCACTGTTGACCATAAGTTGCTATTTTGAGACTTAAAGTAGCATGCTGAACTTTCACAGATAGTGTCAAGTCAAGATCGATCCCAGTAATGACTAATTCTGTGACATTGACTTTTTTATGTTAACTATATTTTTTTAATTTGCTTTTAATTGGAGAATAATTACACTATTGCGTCGGCTTCTGCCACACATCGTAGGAATCAGCCGTAGATACACACATGCCCCCTCCCTCCCACCCCAACCCTGCCCGCCCCCCAGGTTGTCACAGAGGGCTGGGCTTGAGCTCCCTGAGTCACACCACAAACTCCCTCTGGCTGTCCATCTTCATATGGTGATGCACATGTTTCCGTGCTGCGCTCTCGGTCCATCCCTCCCTCCCCTTCCCGCACTGTAACAGCAGGACAGAGGCTCCGTCTGCTTTGCCCCAGGCTGTGGGGGAGGTTGGAGGAAGAGCTGGGGGCAGAGAAGCCTCCAGCAGCTCCCCTCCAGGTGGGGTGTGGGAGGGGCCTTGAGGCAGCCCAGCCCCCATAACTCACGTCAGCTGATACAGGCGCAGAGAAACCCCGCAGCAAAACCATGTTAAAATGCCCGTCTCCTGCTCCGTCCCAACGTCTGAGGCCATGGAGTTGGCCTTTGAGATGAGTGATGCCTATTCATTGTGACAGTGACCTGCTGTGTGGTGGTGGACATTGGGGGGGTCCATCAGGTGTGCTAAACACATTTCCTGAGATGAGCTCTGAACAGGACCAGGCAGCTGTGCCCTCGGGCTTCGGGCTGAACTTGTGGAGGGCAGACTCCTGGGTCCCCCCCCCAGAGAGCCGTGTTCTCAGCAGCCCCCCACTGGGCCCCCAGGCAGGTGGTCTGTGGGGTTCACGCTGAGAACCCTGGACCTCCAAATGGGCTGAGAAGGATGGGAAGCTTCTGCAAACAGACACTGGAGTCACGATGGCATCTAGCCTGTGGGTCTCAGGGATGCCTGGTTAGAGCCTGGACACCTGCGGAAACACGGGTCTGCAAATGTGATTCTAAGTGATGAACTGAGCCCGAGAAATTGCTGTCAACTCAGCACTGCCTACAAAAGCATAAAATTGTACCTCCTTTCCAGGGGAAAATTTAGCAAAATGTTAACAAAACGCATTAAAGAGCATACCCAGAAATTTCACCTCTTGTCTTTAGACAAAGGAAATTACCGGAGAAGTTTGCAAAGACGTAGGTGCCTAGACTTCATTACACGTGCTTAGCGATTGCCAAACGCTCAGCCTGAACTTCCAACCACAGAGTCTTGGTCGAATTTCCGAGACTGGAGAGAGCAGCCATCGGAAGCGGTGGCTGCAGCAGACAGCCCACAGCATTCAGACCATCACCACCCATCCACCACCCACCCCCCGCAGGGTGCGTTTTCCTCGGAGTCTGCTCCTGACACTTACTAGGAGGGCCCGCAGGTGGTCTAGGTCCCTCATTTGGGACAATGCTAAGGAAAACTTGCTCTTCTGGAAGGCCATAGCACCTGCACCAGTGTCTGCTGACAGGAAGAGCTGTCCACATAGACTCTTCAGTGAGAATGCCAATTACAAAACAGCTCGCACGGCAGACCAGGCTTCCCTGCTGGCTCGGATGGTAAGGAATCTGCCTGCAATGTGGGAGACCTGGGCTCGATCCCTGGGTCCGACCCCTGGGTCAGGAAGATCCTTTGGAGAAGGGAATGGCAGCCCACTCCTGTATTCTGCACTGGAGAATCCCATGGATAGAGGAGCCTGCTGGGCTGCAGTTCATGGAGTCGCAAAGACTTGGATATGACTGAGAGCCCAACACACTCTCTGCACATGGACTTTCTGCACATGGGACTGCCGTTACCGCCAGGGACTGCAGCCCTGCAGGAACTCAGGCATTTTCACAGGGGAGCAGCCGCACTCACTTCATCTCATCAGGAAACTTATCCTGGGCTGGATGAGGGCAGGCTGCCATGTCCCCAAACTACCAGCTGCAAGATAGGAAGGGCTCTCACATTTCCTGATTCCCACGTGGAGAAAAGGCAGGACACTCAGCCTGAGGGGGGAGCCCACGACGGAGGAGGCAGGGCCCCCGCTCTGAGAGGAGCCCATTCTGGAAGGGGAGACAGGAAGAGGTGCAGGCGTGACTGGGTCAGAGAGCACGGGGCCACGGGAAAGCGGGGTCAGAGCTCACAGGGGACCCAGAGGCCTGGCGGTGGGCAGGGGCAGGGGACCCAGAGGCGTGGCGGTGGGCAGGGACAGGGGACCCAGAGGCGTGGCGGTGGGCAGGGGCAGGGGACCCAGAAGTGTGGCGGTGGGCAGGGACAGGGGACCCAGAGGCATGGCGGTGGGCAGGGGACAGGGGACCCAGAGGCGTGGCGGTGGGCAGGGGCAGGGGACCCAGAGGCGTGGCGGTGGGCAGGGGCAGGGGACCCAGAGGCGTGGCGGTGGGCAGGAGCAGGGGACCCAGAGGCGTGGCGGTGGGCAGGGGCAGGGGACCCAGAGGCGTGGCGGTGGGCAGGAGCAGGGGACCCAGAGGCGTGGCGGTGGGCAGGGGACACATGCAGGCCGGTGCCCAGCAGGAGGGGGCACGGGTCCGCCCCGGGCACTGCGTCACTGGAGAGGAGGCCCCGGGTCGCAGCCAACTCGCCCAGGCTGGTTTTCTTGTGCGGCTGCTCCCCCGGGAGCCACGCCCCCGGCTTGCTCCTTCTGCTGTGGGGGCGCGTGAGGACAAGCAGCCCATCCCTTGGTCCCCCTTGCTGCCGCCGGTGCAAACGCACGGCCGCCCTGGGGAGACAGTGTGTGAGGGCCGGGGCAGGTCTGCGCGCTCCCCAAGGCCTCCAGCCCCAGTTACGGGGCGTGGGTTTGTCTGAAGCAGCGGGCAGCCCCCTCAGTCCCCGAGTCCTGCCAGCCCCTCTGCACCCCTTCTTTGCACCAAGATTCGCTCGAGGCCCTGTAAAGACGGGGCCGGTGGGAAACGTGGCCGATGAGGAGACAGACGTGACAGGTCCAGGAGGAATGGAGAGGTGGCTCGGGGTTTCTTGGGCGCGGGAGCAGCGAGGGAGGGTTCTTAAGACTTCCTCATGGGAAATATTCTTCAGCAGCACAGACAAGGCGTCAGCTCCCGCCCTGGGCACTGGGTGCCACAGGGACCATGACAGAGCAGACCCTCACCGGAGAGAATTTCTGTTTTGGGGAAGGAGACGATGGACAAGGAAGCAATCAGTTCAGCCGGTAAAACCCCGACATCGTCACATGTAGGGAGCGGTGGGATGGGTACCCGTGCAGAGATGCCGGAGTCAGTCCCTCCAGGCGCGGGGCAGAGGGCACAGCCCTGGGGCAGGTAGGGCGCAGCTCCCCCGAGGCACGGAGGGGAGGTCCATGCACCTGAGTCCCATGAGGTCGGCCAGGCGGCCAGAGAGCAGATCCACTAGCCCCCAAGGGCCACAGGGAGGGGTCCGGCATGGTCCACGTGGGCCTGCAGAGCCGTGCTGGCCCCGATGGGGTCAGAGGGCTCAGCCAGCTGCGGAGAGGCTCACCTTTCTACCGATGCTGAGTGAAGGATCCAGGGGAGAGAGGGCCAGGCGGTGGTTAGACCAGGATGAGGCCACCGGGGTGGGACAGGCAGAGACCCCAGGAAGTCCTTACGAATAAAACGTGTGTGTGCTCAGTAACTTCAGTCGTGTCTGACTCTGATACCCCAGGGACTGTAGCCCACCAGATTCCTCTGTCCTTGGGATTCTCCAGGCGAGAATACTGGAGTGGGTCGCCATTTCCTCTTCCAGAGGATCTTCTTGATCTGGGGATCAAATCCGAGTCTCGGGTCTCCGGCATTGGCAGGAGGATCCTTCACCAGCGCCACCTGGGAGGCCCAGGTGAACAAGACAGTGGAAGCCAGTCTTACCGATGAGAGAAAACAAGGTGAGTCTGCAGGATCCTGGCTGATGAACCCCAAGTTATCTCATTTAAGATGCTTTCCTTGTGTCTGCTAACGCCGTCCAGCCAAAGACCTCCAGGTACACCCCTGTGGCTGAACGCGTGGGTTTATTGCTCTTTTCAGCAAAGGACAACACACACCAAGAGTGCACAAGGGGTGTGTCAGTGAGAGGATGCCAGAGAGAACCTCTGATGGGCTTTGACCGGCGTTAAGGGCCCCTGTCGGGAGTCCAGGAGAGCAGGAGTTTGCTCGGGACGGGACACTGCCAGGAAGTGGGAGAGAGTCCACGACTGGGCATCTTGGGAAAGCAGCCACCACCACGCTCATCAGCCAGGCCCCAGGAGCCGGTCACTGAGCGTGCACAGGGAGCCCATGTCTGCACTCAGGTGAGATCGCGGGGGTCCTGGCACTTGTCCCAACCCATCACGGTTACGGAGTGGCTTTGGCGGACGCTGGGTGTTCTGTGATCCGTAGAAGGCGGGGGCCCAGGTGCAAGCCAGGGGTCACTGTGCTGCTTTTCAGATCCTCCCCCCTCCACAGTTTGGAAGCTCTCCAGTCTGCTGCAAGTGCTGCCTCGACTTCAGCAGGATGGGTCAGGGTGAGTGCCTTGCCTTAATTACTTTCCTAGCACAAGGAATTTCATTCCAAAAACGCCATTCCTCTGCCAAAGCAGCACACTGCTTTGCTCTGCTGTGCCTTCAGAGATCACTGAGTGCTTATAATTAGGTTGTGAACCATGCAATCCTTCAGCTGGTGTTTGCTGTTTTAATAACAGACTTGTTTTCATTTTGAAGTAAGAAAATGTTACCATATACATGGAAATTATGCAGACTTCTTTACTCTGGAATCTAGGGTGGGGGTGAGGAGACTTCATTAAAAAAAAAAAAGCATTGTCTTATTCTAAATAGCAGTGAGGTGCATAGCATAATATGTGATGATTCAATAAAGACACTCATTTAAATTGCAGATGGTTATAAAACTGAGACTGCAGATAACTTTACTCTGAGAATGTATAGAATAAACGATCTCTTAATATAATAAAGTCACTTGTCGTCTTTGCAGTTTATATTAAAACTTCACTCGAGATGTGATTTCCAGGCAGGTCTCCAAAAACACTCCCTCAGGACAGTAGAATTTGACGACACTGGATCATCCCCAAGAAATAATAAAAAAGGGGCACGTTATATGTTGTCAGGGAAGTTCCGAAACTTTGTGTTCAAGGATGAATTATTCATTAAAAGTTTTCAGAGAAGTCCAGGTGGTGCAAAACCAAGTTTCTGAATAATGAAAGGAATCTTGTTTCTATATCCGAAAACGCATCCTTTCTTGGAACCAACTGTGCACATTTAGCAATGCCATCGGGTAACGGGGCTAACTCCCAGGGAATGCAGCCCCAGGGCTCCTCTCCCAGGGGGCTGTCCCCCACAGGCCTGGGCCTCCAGAGGCAGGAACCCAGAGGTCAACAAGGCCAGGTGGCAGGCATATTCTCAGGGTTCAGGGGACTAGACCAGACGCAAGGCTCACAAATCCCAAAGCGGCCAGTGGGGCGCTGACAGCCGTGGACACAGCCCTCAACACAGCTTTCTGCAGAGAGAAGCCGGCCATCAGGATCTCATCTCACAGGTGACAGATTAGCAGTCCCTCCTACGTACTCCCACCCTCCTCACACCATGTATTTACTTATTTTAACCACGTCTCATTGCATGAGGAATTCAACTCTGTAGCCAAAGGAAAACCAGAAAGCACATCAATAGGGAAACAGCCCGAGAACTGACCGCCTGGGGTGACCACGGCTCAGCGCCGCTGCTGCCCTCCCCGCGGCTCGGCCGCCCAGGTGATCCCGGAAAGGTGTCACCGCTGAGGTTTTGTGTGGGACCTTCTTCCAGTCCCCACGCTCCACTTTCTGCATTTGGAGGAAATCCGCTTGGGTGATAACTTTGACTACATGCCTCACCCCGTTTTCTGGGCTCTCCAAAGTCCCCGGTCATTGGGGTCACTTGGCACATAAAATTTCCTTTGTGTAACCTTCCATAAAAACCATCTTCTCTAATTTTCTTAATTACTGTTTTCTTTTTCACTTGCATTCGCTATACTATGCACATTCGTTCACTTTTTTCAGTCCCGTCTTTTCTGTTTGATTCCTAGCATGTTTTAGTTCTGTGACTGTGTGTTTTGGGTGGTTAAACATGTTGCCTTGCTTTCACAAACCTCCTTTCTCTCTTCCCGGTTCTCTAAAATTATGTTTTCTTCTGAGTTAGGTTCTTCACATTTGCTTGTCTCTAACAGGAAGGTTGGGCTTCCCCGGAGGCTCAACAGGAAAGAATTTGCCTGCAGTGCGGGAGCTGCTGGAAACGTGAGTTTGATCCCTGCACCGAGAAGATCCCCTTTAGGAGGGCAGGGCCGCCCGCTCCAGTATTCCTACCTGGAGGATCCTGCGGACAGAGGAGCCTGGTGGGCTACGGTCCCTGGGTTTGCAAAGAGTCAGACACGACTGAGCGACTGAGCATGCATGCATGCAATGGATCATCTGTTTATTTATGTCTGGTTCATACTCAGGCTCTTACATCAAAAAACCTACATTTACTAACACACTGGGAGGGACTTCTTCCTACCAGAGCTGGCCCTGGACCACAGGGACCCCAGTCTTCAGGCTAGGACTGTCCTGTTCCCCCAAAACTTCAGTGGGGAACGCCCTACGGAGGGGCTCTCAGAGCGTCTGGATGCTGGAGTATTAGGAACGGGACTATGACAGCTCAGTGCCGGGCCACCTTCCATGGTGACCCATGGTCCCAAGCTGCATCCCTCCTCGGACTCAGCTGAGGCCCTTGGCGTCCTCTTCCAGAACGCCTGGCTCTGGACTTCAGGCAAGGAGGTCGAGAGTGGGGTGGTCCTGCCCACTTCTTGGTCAGCAGCCCAAGAGGACACATCCTCCTGGCTGGAAGCAACCCCCAAGCCCCAGAGAGTGGCAGCTCCCCCCAGGAGCAGCATCGTCTGTGGCGGGGTGCCAGCCCTGGTGGACAGCAGTGTCCCCGCCACCCTGCACGCTGTGGACCATTTCTGGTCACCTGCACGCACACCCAGGGACATGAAGGGACCGCCTCCAAGTAAAGATTGAGTAGTTAAAGCTTCAAATGCACTGGCAGAGGCAGCGCCTGCCTCGCACCGGCAAATGTTCTGACATTTGTTCTCCAAGGCGTTGTCTGCGCCATCTTTAATTGTTAGGTAAACAAGATGTAGCGAACACGTCCAGAATGCTCCGTCCTTAGCAAGCTCCACATCATTTCACTTCATCGTTGCAATAACCTCACAAGGTGGGCCCCCATTTCAGAGATGCAGAAATTGGAGCACAGAGATGTGAGTCCCTCCCAGACCAGCCACCAGGAGGCACAGAAGGGGCTGCACCCTCAGCCACCAGGCGCTGGCCTCCTCAGCTCCCAGGCTAGGCCTGCCTGGCGCCTAGGACTACGGGAGGGAGAACCACCTGCTTTTATTTTTTGTGATTTGATGCATTCGTATTTTTTCTCTTTAAATATTTAGTCAATGCAGTACTTCCCTTGTTTTGCAAGTTGAGCTAAGGATTGAATTCACCTTTTTCCCAATCAAGTTAATCAGCTGGCCCATTATAATTGACAGCAAAGCCTGGTCTTTCTACACCACATATGAGTGCCCCGCAACACTCCGACACTCTCGCCTGGAATGCTCTGAGCTTTCTGTCCTGGCTCCCTGAATTCTCACCGTCTATCTGACCTCAGGCACAATCCATTCTGATTTTGACTCTTGAAAATATTTTCACATCTACCAGAGCAAGTTCCCCTCAATGGTGTGAAAATCACTCATTCATCCTGCTAACGTTTAGACTCATCTGAAATGTGACTGGGATTGCACTTTTTTTAGGTTAATTAGGAGAGAAATGGCATCTTCATAATATTGGGTTAATAATCCTTCCTTTCATTTATCTTACTTTATATTTTTCGGTAAAATTTTATAGATTCCTTTGAATGGGATTGCATATTGCTTAAATTTGCTTCCCAGGAATTTATGTTGGGCCACTATTATGAAGCTACTTTATTCATTACACTTTCTAATGCTTTGGCATTTACAAAACTCATTGGTTTTTGTGTTTTCTTTATTGGCCATTCTTCCTCTTTTGTATTTATTCCCATAGATTTTCAGATGAATTTTTAGGTTGTTAGATGGACAAGCATAAGATGTTTTTACATAATATACACACACGTGCATTTTCAGGGATAGGGTCCATAACTTTAATCAAATCCCTTTCATTAAAGTGATTTTATAAGCATCCTTAGAGAAATTAATGTGATAAATTATATTAATACATTTCCTCATTTTAAACCATACTTTAATTCCTAGTAGAAGCCATACTTGTGCGTAGCATATTAATCTTATAAAAATTCTAGTTTGGCGTGTGTGTTATTTGGCTAAAGGTGCTGTAACAAAGTGGTGTAAACTGGGAGGTTTAAAGGAACAGGAACTTATAACCTCAGCTCTGGGGGCTGGGGGCCAAGGTGAAGGCAATGCCTGCTCCCTCCGCAGACTCTGAGCAGGAAGGCGCGCTAGGAGCCCGCTGGGAGCAGCCTCCCGCGTACAGACTCGCTCCTGCCCCATCTTTGCTTCTCCCATGAGGCCTCCCTTTGGCCAAACCCAGTGAGAACCCAGAGAGCACTGGAGCCCAGTGATGGGGTCAATATGGGGGCGGGAGCTCCCAGGGTCCAGAACTCGGTGGGGAAGGATGGAGGCACATGAAAGACGGGGATGAGATGAAACTAATGAAATAAAAGATGGCAGTTTAGGGGCCACAGGAAGCACCTTAAAGACGGTCAAAATGGGGGGAGTATGCTGACTACAACACACTAACTATATAAAAAGACAAGTGTTAATGATGGCACTCAGGAAGGAGAAAGAGAAACAACAAGACTCACTGGACACCATTACCAGCTGCTAAGGTGCCTAATATAACTCTTACAGACAGATAAGAGAAAGGAAAGAGCAAGGCATTCATCCTGCCTTTCTGCGTAGAACTAGGTTTCAAAGACACTAACAGCTCCGGTGAGCAAGGGAAGACCCTCTCGTGTAGAAGAACCTGATTCATCAGTAAGGAGGGGATGATCAAATTAGAAAATTACTACTTTGCAACCTGTAATGAAATGCTATTTCAGGAAATGAATGGCATCATCATCGGAGGGTAAAGCCATTAGGAGACGTACCAATGAAGAACTTCGCAGGGAACAGGTCAGGCTGTGGCGACGTGAACCGTTGGTTGACTTTCCTGTGAATAGAGGGAAATCTACCATAGGATTTTGGAAGGAGAGAGGCAGTGGCAGCATGATGTTTTAATGTCTCCAGATCTTTACACAAAAGCAGTCACATCAACTAGATGACAAAGGTGAAACCCCACAGAAAACGCTGGCGGCAGAGTGAGGACCCCCCAGAACTCCGAAGCGCAGGTGGGTGAAGCCAAGCCACCAACAGCCACGAGACCTGCAGGGCACCAGTGCCCATAGGAGAGGAGGTGGAAACCAGGGGACCTGTGATGTCCCTGAGAGCCAGAGACCCCAAACAGCCGGCAAGTCTGCCCTCAATGTGCACCAGCCAGGCAGCAGACTCTGGAACCAGGGCGGCTGGTCTCTGAGGCGGGAGTGCTGGGAAAGATCGGGGGGCACCCAAGAAGACCAGGGCAGGAGAGGTGCCAGGAAGATCCAGGAAGCAACCCCCATGCCCCCAACACCACGAGGAATCAACCCATGGCAGAGCTCTGGGAGGTCAGCGAGCTGGCCTGAGCCATGCCTCCTTCTAAGGACTCAGAAAAACTGACTTCCCAGGACTTCTCAGAAGGTCCAGGGGCTAAGACTCCATGCTGCCAATGAAGGGGACACAGGTTCAATTCCTGGTTGGGGAATTAAGATCCCAAATGTCTCAAAGCATGGCCAATTTTTTTTAAATTTTTAAATAAAAACTAATTCCTCATAGAAGTGAGACACATCAGTCCATGGAAAGATGAACAGATAAACAAAATGTAGTCCATCCACTCAAAGTGGATGGACATATTCAGTCTTAAGCAGGAAGGAAATTCTGACACAGGCTACACCATGGATGAAACTTGAGGACCTTACAAACCAGACGTAGAAGACAGATGCTGTGCGATTCCACATAAACAGATCCCTCAGTTCAGTTCAGTCACCCCGTCATGTCCAACTCTTTGTGACCCCATGGACTGCAGCACACCAGGGTTCCCCATCCATCACCAACTCCCAGAGCTTGCTCATACTCATATCCATTGAGTCAGTGATGCCATCCAACCATCTCATCCTCTGTTGTCCCCTTCTCCTCCTGCTTTCAATCTTTCCCAGCATCAGGGTCTTTTCCAATGAGCCAATTCTTTGCATCAGGTGACCAAAGTATTGGAGCTTGAGCTTCAGCTTCAGCATCTGTCCTTCCAATGAATATTCAGGACTGATCTCCTTTAGGGTGGACTGGTTGGATCTCCTTGCAGTCCAAGGGACTCGCAAGAGTCTTCTCCAACACCACAGCTCAAAAGCATCGATTCTTCAGTGCTCAGCTTTATTCATGGTGCAACTCTTACATCCATACATGACCACTGGAAAAACTATAGCTTTGACTAGATGGACCTTTGTCAGTAAAGTAATGTCTCTGCTTTTTATCCCTAGAGCCCTCAAAGTTAGAGACAGAGAGTAGAATGGAGGGCGTCTGGGGCTGCAGGAGGAGAGGGAGGGTGGGGAGTTTGATGAGCAGAGAGCTTCACTTTTGCAAATTGAAGAGTTTTAGAGACTGGTTGCACAACAATGGGAATGTGCTCTTAAAAATGGTGAGGATGGTGAATTTTATGTTACATGTTTTTAACCACAGTTAAAAATTGAAAGTTTTTAAATGAGACATATCAAATTACCACTAAAAGCTATTATAAAAATATTGATAAAGCATAGAATAATACCTATGTGGACAATAAAAGTATGCTGGAGACTCAGGCTCAAATAATATATTGAAACCATTGTTATATACTACTTCAAAATGAGGTTCAAGAATGATATCAGATATGAAAGAAAAGCAAAAATCATATAATTTAAAAAATTTCAGAAATGAAAGACAGAACTGAGGGGAAAATCAGAAATTTAAAAGACATTTCAGAAATGAAAACTCAGGCAGAAGAAACATGAATAGAATGAGATAATACCTTAAGAAAAATAGAAAATAGAAAGGAAAGGCTTTTTAATACAGTGAAGAAAAGAAAAGGGATTCAAGAAAAAAAAAAAAAAGCAGGAATTCTAAAGACCGGCAAAGACAACCTTATGTATGATTCTGAGTCCTGAAGAAGAAATCAAGGAAGGGAATAAAATAATACTAAAAACTGTGTTTCAAGATAACCTTCCTTATTTAAAAAGATATATTTAAAACCACTGCTGTATTGAAAGCATACAACATACCTGAGAATAGAGGCCAGAACAACTACTACAAAGACAGAGGCTTATAAATTAATAATCTTTTACAAAAAAAAAAGAAAAGAAGTCATCTTTTAGGCAGCCAGGTAAAACAGTAAGATAATAAGAGAAATAAAAATTCTACCACACATTTTTCACAGAAAATCTTTATGCCAGAAAGAAGTAGAATATTATGTTTAATGTGTTTCAGGGGGAAAACGTGAACCAAGTGTTTTTTTTTATCCAGCAAAACTGGACTTTCAAAGCATAAAAGAATAAAAACATGAAGTGTTATCAACATTCAAGATATCAGAGCTATTGTTCTCATGAGCCTGTCCTGAGGAAGGTAATTAGAAAATGAGCTTTAAACAAAAATGACCACAGAGATTTTAACTGAAGGCTGGTAACTGGCATTCATGGAGCTACCTGCAGAAAATTAAATGAGGCTGCAAGGGAGAAGATATTATGCATAATGGCTCTGTGAACTGACATGAGACCCAGTGCCCCATCCAAAACAAGGATGAAACAGGAAACACACATGGCAAAAAAAAAAAAAAAAAGATTTAACTTTTCTTAGTACTTATAGCAGCATGGTGGTGATACTGATGTTGGTACATATGTGTTGGTGTTGATACACACACGTACATATAATATTGGTACTGTGGGACCATGTGAGCTATGGGGGATAAAATAAAGGCGTGATCTTGTCTGTGGTCCTGTGTGTCCCTGAGTATGGTGTTGGAGGAAGGAGGTGCAGACGTCACAGAATAGGTGAATGAATGCCTGTTGTCAGGGTGAATCAAAGAAACAGCATGGACCCCTAAGATCTTCTCCATAACATCCTTGTGCCCTGAGGATGGGTTTGGCATACGTTCCCCACTGAGAGAAGCAGGGCTTCTTGGAGAAAAGGCTGATCTCAGGTCTGTAAGTGGGAATGGGTGGGGCGGGCCTGGGGCATCTTGTCACGCCAGGCAGTGGCAGGGCCACCAAGGTCACGAGTGAGTCATGCGGACTCAGGAGTGAGGTGAGGAGGTTCCTATTGCCCCAAAGAGGGACTTCCTGAGTTTCAGAAAGGATGCTGGCTTCCACGGAGTGAGGGCTATTAAAGAAGTCTAAATGGACATGCTAATAAGAGGATTCAGAGAACATGCTGCTCAGGGAACAGCAGGGTCCCAGCTCATTACCCTGAAAACTGGCCGGGAGGTTCTGGCTCCTCCGCGTACCGTCCCGACGCTATACTCACAGACGAGTTACGAGAACTCTCTCTTTATACGAGTATTTCAGTTCCAGAATGAAAACAGTGACACAATTAGACCAACCACTCTGTGCCCCAGGATGGATGGGTGACCAGTGGCAGCTGCCAGCGCCACAGGGAGAAGCCAGCAGGTGCTCCATGCCTCTCGATAAAAGGTGGGGACACCAGCCTGAATCTTCACATGGGACCCCCGCTTTGTGAAGGTTCTGCGTGAAGGTACCATGAAGAGAGTCTGCGGGCAGGAGAGAATGATCTGCATCGCGACTGCACTCAGCGAAGCCAGGCTGGGCAACCGTGGGGCCAAGAAATGTTTAAAAGAAACATTTTAAAAGAAATATTTAAAAGAAAGAAAACATTTAAAAAGAAGGCTGGAAGGACCAAGCTGGGCATCTAGGCCCACACTAGGGCACTAACCCTAAGGCAAGGCAAGACTGTGATGGCGATGAATCAGGACGAGGCTCATGCTAGAGGACACAGAGGGACCTCTATGGAGACCGGCAGTTTCGCTCCTTGCCCTGGGGGGAGTTGGCTTACTCAGCTTATTCAAGCCCTATGTCTGTTCTGTGAGATTCTGTAGGGTTTAACCTCACAGTGAAAACGTAGCTGGGCAGCCAGACATCATGTCCCTCTGCTGGAGGGCTTCCTCCCCGTGGCCCTTCCTCCCCAGCTCCTGGGCACATGCCCACCCCCCAGACCCTTGTGAGAGCAGCTGTCTCTCTGGAAACCTGATTCCTCCTCCTCACCGGGGTTTGCTGTTGCTATTTGTGGTCATTATTGCTGCTGTTTGTTTAGTGACCTTTCTGAAATGATTTTCTGAAGTCTGTGTTTTCTGTCAAGCATGGCCACTAAAATTTCTCTTATGTTAACTTTGTCAGAAGCTAGTGGTTTGAGAGGGAGCTTCATAAATCCTGGAATGCTCCCCCAGCTGCCACCACCACCAGCATCACCACCATCATCACCATCACCACCATCAGCACCATCACCACCATCACCACCATCACCACCATCACCACCATCACCATCAGCACCATCACCACCACCATCACCATCATCACCACCATCACCACCATCATCACCATCATCACCATCACCACCATCATCACCATCACCACCACCATCACCATCATCACTACCATCACCACCATCACCACCATCACCACCATCAGCACCATCAGCACCATCACCACCATCACCACCATCACCACCATCACCACCATCACCATCAGCACCATCACCACCACCATCACCATCATCACTACCATCACCACCATCATCACCATCATCACCATCACCACCATCATCACCAAGATCACCACCATCATCACCATCACCACCATCAGCACCATCACCACCATCAGCACCATCACCACCATCACCACCATCATCACTATCACCACCATCACCACCATCACCACCATCAGCACCATCATCACCAAGATCACCACCATCAGCACCATCAGCACCATCACCACCATCACCACCATCACCACCATCAGCACCATCACCACCATCATCACCATCACCACCATCATCACCAAGATCACCACCATCATCACCATCAGCACCATCAGCACCATCACCACCATCACCACCATCAGCACCATCAGCACCATCACCACCATCATCACCACCACCACCATCAGCACCACCACCACCATCACCACCATCACCATCATCACCACCATCATCACCATCACCACCATCTTCAGTATCACCACCACCACCACTATCATCACCATCACCACCATCACCACCATCATCACCATCACCACCATCACCACCATCATCACCATCACCACCATCACCACCATCATCACCACCACCACCATCACCACCATCATCACCATCACCACCATCACCATCACCACCATCATCACCATCACCACCATCACCACCACCATCACCACCATCACCACCATCACCACCATCATCACCACCATCACCACCATCACCATCACCATCATTGCCATCACCACCATCATCACCAGAACATCCTCCTTTCCCAGCCTTTGCAGGAGGCTCTGATGTGTGCTGGGCAAACCTCAGATGTTTAGCAGGCAACCAGTGGCTCTTCTCTAGCTTCATGTCCCACTTGCCCAGAGCTCAGAGGTCAGCAGCAGGGAGGGCACAGGGCCTTCTCACATCTTTCGGGCCTGTGCCAGGCACTGGGAATGCCTGTGGCCTCCTAGATTCCTTGGAATCTGTCCAAACCACCTCCTTCTGTCCTTTCCTTCCAGGCCTGTTTGCCCCGACCGTTATCCTGAGGCCAACAGGGAAGAAGCTAATTCACTTGCCTTTAAATATGTTCAGCAAACACCACCCTCCTCCCCACACACACACACAAACACATGCACACACACTCACCAACACTTCAGACAGGAGGAGGTTCTGAGTTACATGCCAGCAAGGCCAACCACCAGGTAAGTCAGAGCCAAAGCCACGACTCTTTGAGCGAAATGGTGCTCCTCTGGCGCTTGTCGGCATCACACCCGGCTTGTTGAGGACAGGACACTTGCAGTGGCCAGGTTTGCATAGAGGATATGTCAGGATTCCGGTGGCTCGAGGCTGAGGCAGGGATGGCTGCTCCTGGGAGGGAGCAGGGGATGGGGCCGCAGTGTGACATGCCTAAGAGAGACAGAGGCCCCTCTGTGATGACCACCGCCTCCCTGGGGAGCAGCACTCCCTGGGGAGAAACACATGAATGGAAGAGAGAGGAGGACAGCTGGAAAGGGGGAAAAGGCAGACATAATATTTTCATTGACTCACACAGACAGGGAGATTGGACTCAAACAAATTCTGGTGTTTTGAGATCAAAATAGCATCGAGGGTGGTCTTTTGGGAGCAAAAAGCAACTAAGCTAATCCAATAACATGCAGACGAGCTGAAAGCTCCTCTGACTCAACCTCTCTGTTCTTGGCCAGAGAGAAGCCAGTGCAGCTCCAATAATGCTGGGGTCGTGGGGACCAAGCTAGAGGATTCATTTTTAATTTTAAGACATGATTAAAGGCCTTGTTAGATCTGGCTTTCAATAGACCATGAAGGCCCACATTGGAATATCTCCATCTTGGAGACATAATGGCCTTCCAGTTGTGGCCAGGAAAATATTTGTGAATCTGGATTCTTTAAAATGTAATCCACAGGCTTAGTGCTGAAAGGTTTACACAGAATTCTGCTTGTTAAAGGAGTTTTAGCTCTTGGTCCCTGGAATTTACCTTTGCACTGTTGTAAGTACTTTGCTCTCTGTACTGTTTTTATCTTTGTCTCTGCAAATCTTTGGGAAAATCACCAAAATGCTGAGACTCCTTCTCCAGCTGGTCTCTATTCCTCCTGGTCAGCTGCATCCTTGATGCTGAGAGACCTTGGGGTTATACAAGGTCAAGGACACGGGGAAAGTCAGTCTGTCTCCTGCATTCTGCCCTGTCCTCTTGGCCACTGCCTTGTCTTTCGAGGGACAACCCCGACTGTGAAAGTCACCCAGCCAGAGAGACGCCAGTGTAAACAAGGACAGAGATGTCAAAGGGACCTACTTCCATCCTTGGGGCCCTGGGAGGAAGGGGGACAGCCTGGATCAGTGTCCCCAGAGCAAAGCAATGCAGCAATGAGGAACGCCAGTCCTCCGGCGTGCCCGGGAAGCTATTTCTGTGCTCATGTTAAGTCTCAGGAGGAAAGCACTCCCGGTCATGCCCTCTGGGGTTCTGATCTCACCAGGAAGCACTCTGCAGCCGTCTTCTCCACGCCTATCCCCGTGAGCCAGAATGAGGATGACAGGAAACCTCCCCCATGCACCTTCAGGATGGGCGGGGCGGGGGCCGTGGGGCGGGGGCCCTGCCGAGGAGGAGGGACTCACGGGGCTGTGGCGTCCGGCCTCCCACCGCCCCTGTAGGGCCCAGGAGGACCCGTCTCACCTCGCCCTGCATGCAAGGGATCCAGAATTATCAAGGTGGGTTGGCAATGGACTGAAAGGAACAGGGACAGCCCTGGAGGAGCCCCATGGGGGTGTGTTTGCTCTTTTGTCAGTATTTCATCTAATCCCTGAGCTCCCCCAAATATATATTCATATAGTCAGAATTGGGAGAAGTTGTTGCCAAAACTGCTGCTGACAATAGAAATTAAAGCCACCCCCTTAGGTGCTGCAGGAGGGAAAGGGATCCCCTCTCCTTTTCTTCCTGATTTGTACCCCAGGATCTCTTCTGAAGCTTCCCCAAACCTGCCTGTGGGGCTCACCCCCCAACTCCCAGCGTCGAGGGCAGACCCAGCTCGGCAGGTCCAAAGATCCACTGCCTTGCCCCCTTTTAGCTCATGGGGTGCCGACCTCTGGCGACCCCGCGCTGGGACATGCTTAAGACAAAGACAGTGAGAACCAGCGACAGGAAGTTTGAACACTGGCTTCACATCCCCCGAGAGTCACACGTGCCACGGGGAGAAACCAGGGCCAGGCCACCAAGGCCTCTTGTTTGCTAAAGCCTCCTGGCCTATGAGCCTTTATGAAGATCCACAAACAGCCTTACCTTCTGCTGTGATAAGTACTGGATTAAAAAAAAAAAATCCAGCAACAATTTTTTGCATCTCAATGAATAACTGGAGTCTCTTAAGGCATTAAACAAGCCTGGTTAAAAATAAGTAAATAAAAGGTTTAAGAAGCTGTTCCAGAAAGTGGGTGAGGAGAGTGGGAGAGACTGTCGGGCAGGGGGTCCCCTCTGATGGAGACATGGCCAGACAGCCAGGCCATCTCCGTAGCGGGAAGGGCAGAGAGTGTGGGAAGCCGCGTCTCCAGTGCATGACCGGCCGCAGCGGGGCTGGCGGCAGGGAGGTGCCACAGGGTGCGTGCCCCCAGCCCTGACCCAGGCGTGGGGCCCGGGACCAGGTCCCCGGACGTCCAGGCTTCGGGTTCTGCCCACGTCCTGCCAGGAACACCAACCAAACCGAGTCCTGTTGGGGCAGCTGTGCAGCGGGAAGGAAGGCAGGAGGGGGCTGGGGGCTCGGGGCCCTAGAGGGGACGGGCAGGAGGGCATCTGGAAGGGCAGGAGAGCTGGGTCGGAGCTGAGAGGTGGGGGGGAAGATGGGGCCCCACTCACAGAGCCACAGCTCGGGGAGGGGGGTCTCCTGGCCACCTGGCCACCCCAGCGCCCCTCCCCCACCCCACCAGCCCCAGATCTCCCCCAGCTTCAGGGGTCCCGCCGGAGATAAAGAGAGGAGCCCGGAGGGGCCGCCTAGACCCTACACGCACGAATGACCCTCTCTGAGTCTCAGTCTTCTGAAATGAAAACGCAGAGGCGAGTGCATCCCCCAGGGCACAGTGAAGGGGGAACGCAGGACTCTCCTCTGAACCTGTCACAGGGCAGCTGCTCAGAACTGGTCACTCTCATCAGGGCCGCTGGGACGGAGGCCCACTGGGGCCCTGCAGAGAGGGGGCTGGGGAGCAGTCCCGGGTTTCCAGAAGACGCTGGAATGCTGGGCTCCTGGAACTCGGCTGGGAGACCGTCGTTTCCATCTGTGGACCCACCGTGCCCTGCTCTGGCACCAACAGGATAGTAAGTCTTCATCCTGGACGGACAGAGCCTGGGGGACAGACACACGGATAGTGGCAGTTCAACGCACAGCTGCTTGAACAGAGAGTCCCAGGCCAGAGGGAGCGGTGGTTGCTTCTGCCAGACGAGGCGGCCTCGAGAGCAAGCGCCCTTGGCCCCGCAGGGAGACGGGCCCACGGGGCAGCCAGCAGGGGAGGGCCACAGGGGACTGCCAACAGGGCTGGGACTGCTAGGCGTGGTGGCCGTTGGCCAGCAGGGTGTGCCGTGGCAGTGGGGCAGCCCCGGCCTGACCCCTCGCTTCCGCAGAGCCGGCACACGGCTGTGTCCCCCGCCCAGGCCTCCAGGTCGGACCATCTGGGGCCAAGGCCGTGCTGAAGGACAAACTGTGTTCTCAGGCCACTGAGAAAAAAAAGCTGGCCTCCGAAGAGCGTGGGTTTGACTTGCTGGACCGTCCCATGCTGCGTTCAGCTGCTGGGCACCCAGGGGCCCGGTCGCCTGAGAGCAATTCCACATTCAAGCGGGAGCTCCCAGGGTCTGAGTCTCACCGAGCAGCTCTCCGGCAGCTTGCACGGGGGAGGGAGGGTCGGCAGGGCAGAGCACGACCTCAGAGCTAAGGGAGGGGAGAGGCCAGCCCCTCCCTGAAGTAGAAAGGGAAGGGCCCAGAGGCGACCTGCAGGGAGACGGGGAAGACACAGCCAGCAGACGCAGGGCAAGAGGCAATTGGCTTGAGCGAGAGGGGCGAGATGGCCCAGCCTGACCCCAAACGGACAGAAAGGCCCAAGACAGACAGAGGGCAGCATTTGACGAGCCCGGGGGTCCCGCCCAGCATTTGATGAGCCCGCGTGGGTCAACTCGGGGCCCACATCAGGACCTCAGGCTGGACGGCCGGGCTGACCTGCTCCAGGCGCCGCGGCACACCCTGGGCCAGGGGCTGCTCTCCTCACTGCGTCCCTGAGAAGGACAGAGGCTCCGGGGAATGGCATTAGGGCACGGCCGCCTTGGAATCCTCCTGGCTTTGCATGAGGTTGAGAGGCTTCTGGCTGCAGTTAAACACCACCAGCAGCTTTTGCACCAAGAAAGGTTTTATTTTCCTGTACCTCAATTCCTATTCCAAATACCAAAGGGAAGAATTCATACCAATCAAAATTGGGATTTATCAACCAGAAAGTTCCACCTTGTTTCCTGCCAAGCCTAGTCATTTATAAAAATAGCTGGTTATTAGGTTTTCCAAGACAGAGTTTCATGGGCTACCTGATTTTTCAGGCTCTGAAGGCAGAGGGGAGCTGGCGGGGATATTGAGGGGCGAAGTCCCAGGTGATGCTTCCTCATGGTGACTCAGGTGGGCAGAGGCCCGTGGGCTCTCAACGCTGTGCGGGACTCAGAGGAGCTGAAGGGAGGACCAGAGACCAGAGAGACGGAGGACGGGGCGCAGTCAGAGCGCTCAGTCCCCGGGAGGCTCAGGGACCCCATCCCTCCTCCTCCCTGCAGAGACGCGCAGGCCCTGCCCGGAGCGGTGAAGCGGGGCAGGACCACACCTGCCGCCAAGCTGTGTGCAGAGAGGGAGGGGAGGGCAATGCAGCGTCCGAGGCGCCAAGGGGGACAGGGGCTGGGAAAGCGTCCTGCAGTCCAGGATCACTGCATTCCTGAGGGCACAAAGGAAGAGCCCGGAGCCCCGAGTCAGCACAAACTCTGAGCGCCACCAAGACGCGATTCAACACATCAGAGACGTCAGCTGACGCACAGCCAGGCCCACCTGACTGCAAGACCTCACCCTTATACCGAAGGTTCTCCGACAGGACAGAGGAGACCACGGCGCAGACAGGCAGGGGCTCCAGTGTGGGCTGAAGCCGGTCTGGTCCCCTCCACGTCTTGCATCTGACAGGATGCTGTCACCTGGGTCCCTGTCCTGCTCAGCCCTGCCCACTGCAGGGTGGCTGCGAGTGCCCAGGGGTTTGGGACTGGTTGCTGTAGGCAGGGCAGGGCCGCTGCTCAGGCCAGGACTGTGCAGGCGGTCCCACTCATGCATCACATGTGGGGTGCCCTGTGCTGGAGCAAACACGGGGAGAAGCAGGGTGACCCGCCCGTCCTTCCCCCGCACGAGGTGCCGCAGCCTGGGGCACTGCCAGCTCAGGGTCTCCCTGGGTGGAACCTCACTCGCTGGGGCCCTGAGGGAGAGCCCCCCAAGGTGCAAGGGACACAGGGAGAGAGGAGGGAGCTTTCCTTCCCTCTGCCGAGAAGATGGAGAAGCAGCCTGACCCCGGATCCTCTCCGAGGGCAGCTGCAGAGCCTCCATGAGCCATCCGCTGCTTCTCCCAGTTTGTCTGACCTCAGCCCAGCAACATGTTCCAGGAGCCCCTCCATGTGGTAGCCTGGCCCGGCCTCCAGAGACCTCACCCCCGAGGGTGAGGACCAGGATCAAGACCAGGGCCTCCTTGCCTGCTGGGTTGACCTATGTGTCTAGAAAGTGCTTCTCAGGTCACCAAGAAATAAAACACAAAAAACAAGGGGAAGGTCGGGTTGTAGGAACACCCTTGCAGGATTGTTTGCTGCCCCACAGGTGAGCAGCACTCGGTACCATGTTCAACTGCCCCGTTCCCATCCAAGAATGTGCATTAGGAATTGCAGACATTTTGTCAAACATGCTTACTGCTCCCGGGGACACTTTATTGCTGTTGCTCAATCAATAAGTTGTGTTCGACTCTTTGCAACCCCATGGACTGCAGTGCGCCAGGGGTCCCTGTCCATCACCATCTCCCGGAGTTTGCTCAAATTCATGTCCATCGAGTCAGTGATACCATCCAGCCATCTCGTCCTCTGGACACTTAGGTATGAGTGAATGTTTGAACCAGTGTTACCAAGAGCTGGAGCTCATAGTCAGCACCTATTCAGAATACCCTGGGCCCGCCAATGTCTGTTGTCGCTAACTTTGCCACCATTGTTCAAAATAGCAGTTTGTCAATGTGATATGCAAATAAGAATCAAATGCAACTTCTTATGTAAACAAGGCACAATTCCAGAATATGAACTGTGGGAACAGAAAGCGTCTCTTAAGGCAAATTCCATGTGGTCATTGATGTGACTTGTAAAAATGTAAATCAATAAATGTCAAAGCAGCACGCTGGTTGTCTCCTGAAGCCTTAGAATGTGGCTCTTGCTTTGAATGCAATAATATTCAACAGCCAGCATACTGGTTAATTACCGTGTGGTTGCAGTTGGATGGTGTAAAGCTCATTTTCTCCCTCTCGCTGCAGAGCTGGGGGGGACACTGTGCTCTCTGAGTGCTGAGAATAGCCCTTTGAATGGCTGTTCTGTATTTCCTTAAATGAGGTACAGTAAAATCTCATTATAACAGACTTCTCTGCTATGCCCTAGAAATCATCAGATGTCTAGTTAACTCAGTTCTGCATAAATATGGTAAGTTCTAACTTCACAGCCAGTTTTGATGAGAAAGCAGTTCTGGCCTTTGCCCACCAGAAGTGAACAGTAGGATTTGGCCTTGGGGTTGAAGAGGGTCCACTCATCCCCCATCAAAAGCCTTCCAGAGTCACCCTCTTCACCTGCGGGGCAGGAGGCTTCTGGCGTCCCACCATCCCCACCCAGATCAGAACCACAGAGAATCCAGGCACATGATAGGGAGGGCACAATTCCACACCGGCCCCCAGTCACAGCTGCGGGTGCTGAGGAGCCAGGAAGGGCAGCCGAGGAGCCAGCGTCTGTGGGGACTTGGCAGAGTTGAGTGAATGGATGGAACATTCCATGAGCATCTGTTTCACAGAGTCTTCAAGAATAGGTCATTTGCATTTATATAATTGTTCACAACCTCCTTGAGTTTTGTTTTTCTTTGGTCAGTTGTAATGTTTCCTCTCTCATTTCTGATTTTACTTGGGTCTTCTCTCTTTCTCTTAATGCATCTAAAGGTGTAAATTCCATCTTTTTTTAAAAGACAGCTCTTAATTTTGTTTATCTTTCCTATTGTTCTTCTGGGGCTTCCCAAGTGGCTCAGATGGTAAAGAATCTGCCTGCAATGCAGGAGACCCTGGTTCAATCCCTCCATCAGGAAGACCTCCCGGAGAAGGAAATGGCAACCCACTCCAGTATTCTTGCCTGGAGAATTCCATGGACAGAAAAGCCTGGCAGGCTACAGTCCAAGGGAGTGTTTCTATTTCATTCATTTCTGCTCTGAGGTTTGTTTCTCCTCTCTAACAACTTTGGGTTCGGTTTGTTCTTTTTTTCCCCAGTTTCTCAAGGTGTGAAGTTAGGATGTATTTGTGGTCTTTCTTTTTTCCTAATGTTAGGCATTTATCATCATAAACTTCTCCCTCAGAACTGTTTTTGCTGCATTCCATAAGTTTTGGTATGTTGTGTTTCCATTTTTGTTTCTCTCAAGATATTTTTATGATTGGAAAGGGTATAATTTCAGTCTCCTTGCACTTGCTAAGGCTTGTTTTGTGACCTAATCTATGATCTATCTCAGGGAGTGTTCTGTGTTCACTTGAGAAGAATGTGTGTTCTGCCACTGTTGAGTGGAGTGTTCTGTATACGTCCGTTAGTCCATTTGGTCTAAGATATAGTCCACTCTGTTCTTATTGACTTTCTGCCTAGATGATCTATCCTTTATTGAAAATGGGATGTTGAAGTCCCTACTATTATTATATTGCTATCTGTTTCTCCCTTCAGATCTGTTAGCATTTGCTTAATATATTTTGGTACTGTGATATCGAGTACTTACATATTTACAATTGTTATATCCTTTTGAGGAGTTTGTACCTTTATCATTATATAATGACCATTTTTGTCTCTTGTTACAGTTTTTGACTGAAATTCCATTTTGTCTGATACAAGATTCACAATCCCTGTTCTCTTTCAGTTTTCATTTTAATAGGATATCTTTGTCCATCCCTTCATGTCAAGCCTATGGATCTCCTTACAGCTGAAGTGAGTCTCCTGCAGCATACAAGTAGGTCTTGATTTTTCATCCACTCAGTCACTCTGTGCCAAAAGACTGGAGAATTGAATCCACTCCCATTTAAAATAATAACTGACAGCTAAAGACTTAGTATAGCCATCTAATTCACTGCTTTCTGGCTGTTTTGCAGTTCCCCTGTCCCTTTCTTTTTATTTCACTGCCTTTCCTTGCAAACTGATAATTTTCCACAGTGCTATGCTAGGCTTCCCTTCTCTTTTATCTTTTGTTTGTCTATTGTAGGTTTTTGCTTGTGGTTACCAAAAGGGCAGCCTTGTTGTAAAATGTTATGTTATACCATTTATATAACATGTGTGTGTGTGAGAGAGAGAGAGAGAGAGAGAGAGACTGATTTTTAAAAAGTGATGCCTTGTGGCTTCACTACCAAATGAGATGCAAGATCAATGAACATCATTCTAACAGAAAAATCATAGCAAATGACTTTTTAGTTTAGTCATTTTTGATAGCTTTATTGAGACATAATTGACTGAAATACAATAAACTGCACATATTAAAGTATACAACTTAATAAGTTTTAACGTGGTAAAGA